AGCTGACGAGTCCCAAATAGGACGAAACATGCGTTCTGCAATCCTCTGCTAGCCACTATCCATCATTAATATATAATACTATTTTTATTTTTGTAATTTTTCTCGTGTCTGTCTCTTCTCTGAGTATTGCAGCAGTGTTTTGCATTTCGGTGATACATATTTAAATCACACTACCTGGTTTCCGGCTGTCTTCTAATGAATAACCAGTACAGCACAAGAGGATTAGATAAACCCTTTGAGACTGCCACATTATTGACCCCCATACATATCAGAAATCGTTATAAAGGCTTAAGGTAATGTATCACACTTGTCACTTCTAGTGGGCAACTTCATTTAGCATGTGATAAAAATAAATTATATGCGAAAGGTATCCATCAGAAATAGAAGAAGAATAAGTATCTCAGGGAAGAGTCACTTTAACAACTCACAGGATGCTGAGACAGACAGCCTTTGAGAGGTTTTTTCTAGATGGTGTAAACGACTTTGGTTGAGGATGTTCTTGAGACAGAGTGACCTGTGTTCATGACATTTCCAATTATAGTACTCCTTATCGATCCACTGCTACCTGTCAGTAATCATATGCGATAGTACTCCTGAACCAATTTGGATAACAGTGACATCGCACGACTTATAAACCTGGCTGCAAAAGCCCGAGGTGAGTTGATGTACGCCTATGGAAGCGGTTATATGAGAAAGTTTGTCTTTCAAGTTGTTAGAAAACACTGGGTGATAGCAGAATACTATTCACAACGTTGATTCAAAGAACATTCTTCGTAGACAGTTTGATTGCCTCCTTTTTAGGGCGTCAATGATAGAATCACCTTTGAAATTTAGATCCATATAAAGCGTCCTTTTTGGCACAGTGGAATGGTTATCTCTGAGAGGTTTTGGCTTGATACTTTTGTGTATGAAGTATGGTGGAAATGGATTTCCATTCAAAATCTTCCTTAGAACAGAAATTTCCTACCCCAACACATCGTGGCTGCAGATTCGTCTAATGCGAGTGGCAAGAGATGTATATTCAGATTTCGTTTGCTACTCATAGGTACCCAGCTATGAAAGTTCGTCAACTGATCATTCCACATTGGTTTACTGTGGATTGATCGTCTTACCGTTTTTTGATGAACTCTCGATTCCAAGACAGAATCCGATTGGTGAATGGAAGCTACTGCATACCCATAAAATTCTATTCAAATCACTTTGGTCATGACAGGTTAAATAAGTATCGTTTACATACCTTCTGTACAGCTGAAAATCTTCAGCCGTTGACTTCAAGCTTCGATTTATCGAACCGGTCAATAAAGCAGACTGCTGATAGTGAACTTGGTTAGGATCCTATGACAATTCCATCCTTCTGTCTATAAATCATGTCACTAAATCTGTCCTGATCATTGAATATGCATTTGATTAACAATTTCTTGAAGTGGAAGGTCGGTATTTTACTGCCAGTCAAGCTGTTAACTCCTACGTATTTCTGTTAGGAAGAGATAGTTTCAGTAAGCGGAACATTACTGAAAAGTGGCTTGACATCAAGTGGCATTATACTTTAATTTGATACGTTGGTATTTCTTATGGGTCCAACAAATTCAAACTTAGCAACATTAGTAAGTATGTATTTCTTCCATTTCTCTCAGTTGCTTTATAACCTCCACAGTATAATGTTTGACCCAAAAAAAGTAGGTATACAATATGCTTTAATAAATTGATAAGAATGTTTTGATTGGGATGGAATTTGATGTCGTTAAGACTACTCAAAAGTTAACTATTTAAACAGTGGTAGAATGAACATTCTAGAGAAAATGACACAAAGTTGGAGGAGGTTATACACAATTTTATTGTTATCCTTCATGTTTGTAGGTTAAGAATGTTTTAGTCTGTGAGTAGAGCCATCTTTTCATCTAGGTAGCCACTTTGTTCCAACAGGATCACATCCGCACCCTGGAGGTGTTATTACCAGATCCCCGCTCCATTCCAGTTGTTTCAGTTATTGTTTAGGCTCTTTTGTTATTGATCTTTAGTCTTGTGCGAAGGTATTCATCATAACAGTCAGTACTGGTCGATTCGAAACCTTGAACCTGCTAGTCAGAAGTTAGATGGTAGGATGAAATAAAAATTTATTATTCCTCAAAATTCACTATTTGCATTGCCTGTCATATGGATCTAGGTTAAAACACTATTTTAAGTGAGATCAAATCCTCTAGGTATTAGAAAATATACAAATTTGTATACTCTAATTAATTCCATAGTTTCTACAAAACTACTAAAAAAGACTTAATACCGTACAAACTCACATCAACCTGACTTGTAAGAAAGAGAATAATAATTAACTGCCATTTCTAGATATACTCCTGAGTCGATGAGAAGATGGTTCAATAAGACGGTCAGTTTACAGAAAGCCTACATGGACAGGATAACACCTGAATTTTCACAGTTCTTGTCCAATACAATACAGGCGAGGTCTAATACAATGCCTGTTTAATAGGATCTATCGTATCAGCACACCAGATATAATGGATGAAGACATCAAACTACTGACCAAAGCGCTTATGGAAAATGGATATCCATTGAAGTTTGTAAACCGTGGTAGAGGTCAAGCAGCACCAAAGCCAACTCTACACACGGTTCCTAAGAAAAGCGTCCATATCACTCCACCATACACAGGGGAGTTAAACAGTATCATTTTGAGATGTACGCCAACATCAACCATTCAGAAAAAAACTACACAGCTAGTCTTATCATTGTGGAAAAAACAAAACACAGGCTTCACCACAAACATAAGCACTGCATCAGTGATTACATCACATCCCATTGTGTTTATTAATTCGCATGTGTGTGGTCACATATACATAGGCAGGAGTAATCGAGTCATGCAGTTGAGGGTGGGAGAACATGTACCTAAATGGCTTCAAAAACAAATGGAGTGTGAAACAGTGACAAACGCTGGTGAGACAACCCTCTTCATCTATAGTTAAATGTATCATAGAAACAGGTCACAAAGTTATGTTCAAACAGTTTCCAAAGTTTTATGTAGGAACAGTCAGGGACGTATACTGAGATGTGAGGAAGCCATAGTTACACACAGATTGAAACCACCTTTATGTGTCCTTACACTGCTCTTACCTTTGTAAACTTTGTTTTCTTACCAAGATTAGGATCAACTAGATCACTTCCTGTGTGTTCTCATCTTAACCTAATTTTAATCCCCTATTGTGTTAATTGTTGTACTTATCCCCCACTCTTCGGTTTAATATATGGTGACTTGACAAGTAAATATGTGATCAGACTGTTCGAAATGTATTGCGCAAATACATCACATTGCTCAGACAAACTTCATCTTCTAATTAGGCTATCGAAATTCATATAAGGGACTAACTGTTTCAAAAGACTTACTAAATTTTCAGATTGGATTACAGAAAATCTCTTCATTTCAACTTATTTTGCAATGGTAACTAACACCACCACTTAACACCGTATCCAGCTGGTGAGTTACGAAGAGAATAAAACGCGCAGTGTGGATATTATTGCTTGTTATCATCAACCAAATAAGGTGTAATATAAATTCTCCCTAAATTGGTCAATGAATTTTAATCCCTTTTACCCTATCGTACTAAAATTATACTTAAGGTTAACTATTAAACTTTCGAAGGTTTCCACCCCAACCTTTACCAGACTCCAAATCTCAAAATATTGAGAATTAAGACTTCTACGTTGATATTAGTCACAGAAAGGCAACCAATTTCACTTTTTCTAATCCGCAGTGCCGACCGAACACTATCGACCATTTTGCAAAATGACTGACAGAATTTCCACTCAGCAGTCAGGATATCAAGTGACCAGTTAATGTATCTTATCCAGTTCTACAGAAGCTGAGTAGCAGCTCAAATAGCTGAGTGATAACATCGCTGATGTGAATTCGAATCCCACAGCACAGACCAATTCTCTAGAGTTTACAGGTATACCTTTCCTGATGAGTACCAACAAATATGAAACCTGGGTCGAGCACGGCTTCCTGCCGATTGCTGATATGTATGTTATTCATCATGGACTGACATCAGTTGGAGAACCTTTGGAAGCCTGGGAACACTGAACGGTTGTTTTGTCCTAGAATAGGACTCCTCAGTAGTACCTTAAAATACATTACTGTATAATGCTCATTAGTGACCTGCTTCTAGATGAATATCACAAAGTTCTAATGAGAAGCCGGGTCCTTTGGGGTTAACCAGTCGGAAGGGAAGTGGATATCGCACTATATCGCGAAATGACAGAGGCTGGGAACTGTGAACCACTGGGCTCCGACCAAGTAACCGCATGGTTAACGCGTTCGCTGTGAAAACTGAGGGTCTTTAGTCGGATCCGTAGCCAGGTCGAGGGTGTGTACTACTGAGGAGTCCCATACTAGGACGAACATCTATCCAGTGCTCCTAGATCTTCAGTGGTTCTCCAACTAATATATATCAAGTAGCAACACTAAATTCATTACATTTTCATTTCAATGTGTATGCTGAAAGTGTAATTTTGACCTGACTAGGGGTCAATAACTGAGTGACTTCAAAGGCCAATCTAGCAACAAATAGAATAACCAATTAGACTTCTTTATTTTATAAAAATCTACCTTCCCAACCGAAATGAAGCAGCCTAACTGGTTATTTTAATCGTTGCTAGGGTGGTCTTTAAAGTCCCTCTAACCGTTATTTCTTATTAGACATAAGAACAGTTAATACAACAATGTGTCACAAAATAAACTTGTCCTGTGATTCGTGTTTTCATTTTTCACACCGAATCCACTCCGGTATATATATATATATATATATATATATATATATATATATATATATATATATAGTCTAAGATCGGCTTGCATTTTAGGTTATTGTTTGATTTCTGTCGAAATTTGATGTTTTATGTAGTGTCACTTTGATTTAATCTCTTTTTGATGATAATAAAGAGGTTACTCAATAGTATAGTATGATTATTGTTATCACTGCTTTGTCCAATTGTAGTCAGACAGTGGATGGGGTTGGATAGTTGTTATATCATCATTCATAATCCAGTTGGTAATTGATGGAACATTTAGTGGATATGGAGTTTTATATTTATCTCTCCGTAATGATGAAGCATTCATCAGTAAAAATTATTCACAAACAATATTATCAATTCCCGGAACTATTCAGCCAGGCTTTTTTCTATGTACTGGTAAGTGCCGTCTACTTTTTTCTTTTCTAACTTTTAATACATTAGTAAGTGTATATTCAGTGTTTTACAAGCGAAATTTTGTTGTGTCAAATAATTTGTGGAATAATAAGCAAATAGTTCACTTCATAGGACAGGTTGAATCAGTTTTAGAAAACTCAAACTCATTACATTGTACTACACTTTCATCAGTTACACACAAGGTGTTAAGGACAAATTTGAAAGGTGTATCTATGTTAAAATAAATTAGAACAGCAAAATAATAGGAAAGTTTAACGTGTAAAACTATAATAAAACATGAGAGACAGAGAGGTTATATGTACCGGACTAGATTGATAAATCTAGAATTTTATTACGTCGGGTAATTATAAAATTGAAGTGGCCGAGTGAAAGATAAGAAACACGCAAACGATACTGACGTAATCAGACACTTGAACTACATACGAATAGTGACTGTTCCCGCTAAGAACCGTATACTTCACTGGTCGAAGGAAATATATGCGGACAAAGACTGGTTTGTGACTATAAGAAAAACACTTTATTCGGCAAAAATACATCACTTATATACAGTTTTCATGAATATATACAACTGGAAGGTCAGAAGTTAAATGGTTTATTCTGATTGGCTAACTGTAGGCTAAAATTATCCAATGAGGTTGTCATGACTACATTGTGGTATAAAAAGAAGATTGGAATACAAAAACTTCTAGCTTATTGGCTGATGACTTGAAATGTTGATTTCCATTTAGGCCACTTCCTATAAGGAATAATCAGGAGTTATGAAAACTTCAATTACTGAAATGGAAGCAGAGGATGTAATCACTTGACCTTAAGATCATAGAAGATCTGGTTGTTACTTGCCTTTTTCGTTAAAAAATCCTTCAGATATTCCACTCACTGACTCTCATGCATCAAAATTGTATTGTATTTTATTCTGATAGTCAACATTGTTGACAAATCAATTAGCATCGTATGTCATACAAACCAAATCTTTATTTTCATGAGATTTTCCTTCTCATTTATTCCCTTCGGAAAAGAAGTCTGTTAATAAGGGGGAGTGATTAGACTTGTAAGGGATGTTGAATCTGCGTTGAGCGTTTCCGCGATTACCTGCCTGTATCACTCTGACTATTTGATAATATAGACACTCTGCTCTATTTCGCTTCATTTTCGAAGTTGGAACATGAATTGAAAAGCTGAGAGTATGCTTCAGCTCATTATTCTATCTAAACTGGTACTGACTAAACTATGCAAGGGATGAAAATTTGCCTGACGTGAAAAATTTGCTGAGTAGTGACAAGAAAAAGCAAGTAGTATGCAAACATAACGCACGAAACTTAAGGCTGATAGACTGTGATGTTATCCTGTCAGGTAAACGTATTAATCTACAAACTTGCACAAGGTATTAAAACTTGTCAACAGTGGACAAATATGTAGTGAAAGAATAAAGAATATTGATAAGAAATTGAATAACAGTGTATTGAAAGCAATTCTTTAGAAGGTTATTATACTGTACTCCAACAGTCGTTCCAATAAACCGAGAATAACTACCATTTCAGATTCAGATTTGTTGCTTTAGGATAGAAGGCTGGGAGCTTATAATAATCCTTTACCAGTAGAGTCTTGCGTTTGTTCAGTCTTCTTTTGAACGATTCAACTAATGATCCGAACACCACTTCTTCTGTGACTCTGTTCCAGGAATTGACTACTCGACGCGAGAACCAGTACTCTTCGGAGAATATGTTCGTTCTTTGCTATTGTAGTCTTCTACTATGTCCTCTGAGGTGTTCCGACTTAGTGGGAAGGAAAAGATAAGATAGATCAGGTTCGAAGTCATTTCTTAGAATCCTGTATAGCATGATTAGGTCTCCCCTCTGTCTTCTAAAGTCTATGAAAATGACATCTACACGTATCCTATCATCTTTAGACTTAACTTTCTCTGACTGTAAGGAACCTTGTCAAGCAAGCGAGATTTCCGCGAAAGAGACAATAAAGTGTTGCTCTGTCAGTGAACTGTGATGGCTTTCTTGATTACTCTTTCTAGGATTTTTACTACACTACTAGTCATACTTATCGGTCTCTAACTTGATAGGTGCTACCTAGAACCTGCCTTGTGGATAGGTGTGACTATGGCATCCTTCCAATCACAGGGGAGTGTGCCTTCACTGAAAGACAGTCTGTATATAGTAGTCACCACCACATGGACCAGCTACATAGAGTGCAAGGTCTCGAAGCAGCCTTGGGTGCCGCTCAACCTATCTCGTTGGTTTTTCTACATCGAGAGTACTTAATGTCTGAAATACATGATTGCGATCGACATCCACAGAGTTTATTCTGCTGGATGTCAATGCTTCTGCTGTTGAATAAGTGTCCACAGAAGATTCCTGTTTAAAACCCTCATCAAAATATCTAGCCATCGCTTCTGCTTATCCTAATCGTCTTCAATCAAACAGTCAGTTTCTGTCCCACTGATTAGAGCGAGTGTACCACGATACATCTTATTTCTATAGTTTATGTAAGAAAATAACCTCTTTGGATGTTGTAATGCAGCTTGGGTAAGACGTATTTCAAAGCATATTCGAGATCGGTGGGTAGTAGCGATACATTTATTTCGGGCTTCTTTGTAATGCTTCATTACCCAGGAAGCATCGAGGTGAGGATTATTATTGGTGATTATCATTATAGAACTGACGAATCCTTCCGTTCTCGAGGGACTCTTGAGTGACCTTGAGACGACCAGTCAGATGCTAGTGGTTTGTTGACTGGATATTTGCCATTTAGGCGCTCGTAACAATCTTGTAATACTATTACAAGTAAAGTAATGTAGAGTTCACTCGATTTCAAATAAGAAATGAATATTTTTTTAATAGCTTCAGGGTTATGGTTCCAAATACTTGTCTGCGTTCACGAATCAAGGTTTGATGACTAAAACTGGGTATCAGGACGAAGAATTTGGGTATAAGGGTTCCTTGTTTGCTTTCAGTGTAAAAGCGCAAAACATTTAAATTATAAAAACAAAAATTATTCAACCCATCATTACTATAATTAAAACACAGGTAATATTAAGGCATCTGCACAGGAGCCCATATGCCAATAGAGACTGATCAATTCGGTGCAATCAACGAAGATATAATCCAAGCAGTTATACTATAACTATACCCGTCGCACAAGAAGCGGCTAACGTAGCTCAGCGGTCCAATGGATAACGCTGTGGCGTTTCAGGCTATCGTTTCCGAGTTCGAATTCCGGTGGGAATAACATCACTCACTGGGACGCAGGTACATCCAGCTGACGAGTCCTAAATAGGACGAGATGCGCATCCTGGATTCCACTACTAGCCACTAATCATCATCACTACAATAGAGTTTCTTTGTTTGCTTTAAGTGTAAAAGCGCAAAGTATTTAAATTATAAAGATAGAAATTATTCAACCGGTAGGTCTTTTTTTATTACCTGACCTTTTAGTTGAATAATTTCTTTTTCATGAGATAATAGGGAATGCTATCTATTTATTCAGATGTTAGGATTTTATTGCGTCAAGATGTAATACTTTAATGTGCTTGTTAATGCTGAGTCGTATCCCAGTGTGGGCTATTTATTCCCGATTTCTTCAACTTTAGGATAACATGAACACTTGTAGAAACATACAGAATCGGCATACGGCGTATTAGGATTATGTATTGTTTTTCCTGCAATTTTGATTTCCGGCTTTTATTCATCATGGACTGACATTCAATGTAGAGACAGTGGAAACCTTGGGGCACTATACAGCTGTTTCGTCCCAGTATGGGACTCCTCAAAAGTGTATATTCATGACCCCGCCGGGGATCCGTCCCAGGGCCTCTAGGTTCCGTAGCCACCATGCTACCATCGAGTCACTGGGTCGGAATCCAACAGTCCATATTTCATACTCCTGTAAGTTTATGATATAGTGCCACCTCCATCTAGTACCATCGTTAATGATCTGTCGTCATATCCAACTTAACTTTCTCCACCAGTCACAACTTTTCATTGGAACTTCGAGAATCGCCTCTACAAGCCAGTCACCAATGACGTTTTGTGGGGATTTATTTATCGATTTCACTTTGGTATTCATCATGAACTAACATCAGTTGGAGTTACAATTTTGCCAACTTCTCCCTTAGCTACTACGGACAAACTTTTGATTGACTTTAAAATATGAGTAAGTTTTCAGGGTCACTAGGCGAGCTACTCAAGGACTACATAACTCTTTAGTCCTACCTGTTTTTTTCTTAACACTCTTTTTCAACTGCAAACATAATTCTTTGTTTTTAAAACGAACAAATTCGAGAATGAGCGAGGCTTAACCGCTGACTTTCAAGGCTACCCTAGAAAATACTGAGAAAAGCAACAAGTTTTTTATTTTACGAATAACTAACTTTCCAGTGTAAATGAATACAACTAATAGATTGTTACGGCAGTTGCTAAAGTTAGCCACCATGATCACTCTACTACCATTTACCCACGTTTGTGATTCATCAACTGAACTGAATGTAAGGTGAAATATGTGCAACTCTTTAGCTATCAGTCTTTCTGTCCCTCTCTTCGTTTAACAAGAAATAAAGACTGATAATTCATTGTCCTTTTACTTATGTGATCTGAGTTGTATATATCATAGGGTGGCTTCAAAAGCCACCCTCATAATCGACGAGATAACCAATCAGGTTTCGGCATTCCAGCTAGTAAGGTACTTTTTCACAAAATAAAGAAACGCGATTGGCTATCAGGGTCACTCCATATCATATCATATTTTCCGCTGAATTTCATGTCAACAACTCACAATTATTCATAAAAATGAAGTAACTTATCTCAAAGAGAAATTGGGATAATTTATGATAAGCGATTTCATCTAACACGCAATTATTTCACAACTCTGAATCATACAGAATCGAAAAAGAAGTCAATAAAAGGTTATTCGGAGGTTTTTATGAGCAGAATCAAAGGATGAATACATTGTATAAAAAGCTGAAGTTGTATATTACTAGCGTTTAATGAACTTCGTATGTATATATTGTGAACTTAAATTTTTGGCATTATTTATGTTCCCTGTTTTCTTCTCATTCTTTTTTTTTGCTAAATCACTTTTTGTTTTACTTACTAGGTGCTTTTGTTAGTCCACTTATTCGAATGTTTGGATTTCGTATTAGTGGATGTTTCGGAGCTTTTTTACTTGGCCTCGGAATGTCAGTTGCAAGTTATCTCGACAATATACACATTTTCACAATATTCTATGGAGTGATATCAGGTTAGTTTTCATTGAATTTCTTTTGATGATGCTACGTTTTGTGTACAAATCTCAGCAAGAAGGTTGTGCTTCACAATTAAGACATCCAGCTTAGAGAACGCAGTACCATCAAAATCATTCTCCTCAGCTGCAAACATTCTCTACCATCTCATAAATCCTAAAGTAATGAATCATATGGTTCATGCGCCTGGAGATCGGTTGTTAAAGGAGGCAGTACTGATGATAAGCAATTCCAATAACTCTTTAAGTGTTAGAACAATCCATATGATTACTGGAAATCAAGTAGGACCATAAAACATTGAACCAAGTATCCACAAGGTACTTAAATACAGAAGGAAAGAATTAGAGCGTATGAAATGAATGTCCAGATTCTCATAGAAAGCCCTAAATACCCGAAGATTTTCAAAACCGATCAAAATCAGTAAATTAATTCACAGTAGTAATTGAATATAAACATTTCATGTCGATTGTAACATGCCTTTCATTAGTTTATAAAGCGATGTCTGAAAAACAATTCCTACTGATATAATGATCGTATAAAACTTTTTTTCCACACACAAAATGAGTGAAATTCAGTGAATTCGAGTGATGCTAAAGGCGATCTTAACAACAAATGAAATAACTAACTAGACTTCTGTTTTGTATGAGAATCTAACTTTCCAGCGAAAATAGAGAAACCTAATATCTAATGCCAGTTGTTGCCAGAGTGATCTCAAAAAGTCATTCGTGCATTCTTTTAGTGTGAATCTGATTAGCACTATTTCTTAAACGTGTGTGTAGTTCAAACTAAGTGACACTATAGATCACTGTAGCAGCTACTGACGGCGACCTGCTTCAATTTTGGGCTATTCATCGAATACCTTCCTATCAGTTTCATGTACTCTTGCACGCTAACGTAACATCAGCTCGGTGTTTCACATCCTTGTCTTTGAAATTGTTATTATTAACTTACTCAGATGCCATAATCATCCCGTCTGAAAACGTCGTTCTAGAAAAGACTTCGTTAAAACAGTAGATGATAGGAATTTCTGAATATGTTACACATATTAAGTGAAATAAAGCGTCTATTATTATCATTATTAGGTAATAAGGTTGATTCACTGATGTAAAAGAGCAGGACCAGATGGGATTCTTTCAGAAGCACTGATATCAAACACAGAGACAACAGTGAACATGCTCGCATCATTATGACAGAAGGTTTGGATGGAAGAGGAGGTACCTACAGATTACAAGAAGGGTTACCTCGTCAAACTCGTAAAGAAGGGTGACCTAAGTCTTTACAAGAACTGGCGCGGAATCATGCTCCTATCCACCTCAAGCAAAATTTTAAGCCGCTTTATCGTTATCATCATTATTATTTGTATTATTATCACCATTGTTATTTTAAACATTTATCACATCAACCGACAAATCTACATGATTGTATAATTATGCATATATATTAAGCTATTTGTATTAGAGTAAAGAGTGAGGAGGACCTAATTGAAAACAATATCGTTCACTTACATATCTTGTTCTAATTTACATGAGAATTTTTAAAAGTTCTTCTGAAGTACATGTTGTCTTTGTCATAGTCTGATCCCAAACGAACAAATGATACATTGTGCAACCTGTGACTAGACTTCCTTTACTCTCTAAACCTTTGAAGTCAAATGATTCAGTCACTGCGATTTATATGACAGGAAATAGTAGAGAAATGTCTGATGAGAATAAACACTAAAATTTCTGTGTATTTCAATCAGTTTCATAGTGGGTGAGACTGAAATTCTCATCAAAACAGATAAAAATGTTTCATAAACACTTGCTTGCTTATAATTTTATCAACTATTACTCTGTTTCACGCTATAGTAGTGTTCCAGTCTACTTTTCGTCAGTGACACTTTTCTTCCAGCTGTTCTACTGTAAACATGTATTGGCAGGTGTACAGCCAGTTGAAAAGTTGTATCATATCGGGGAAAGTTAGTTTCAGGAAGACAACTAACTTATTCCCACTGATTAGTGAACTAGTCAATCGACAATATTTTCATGTTATGAACTCAACATGATAACTACTCTATATTGTCATTGAGATATCAGATTGATGGAAACTGTCTTAAGTATAGGCGTTTTAAGGCATTTACCTGTAATTCTTCTGATACTGAGGAATTATTCAAAATGCTACCACTAAGTTATGTTACATCTCTAAACAGACTATTTATAAGTACTGAAGAGATTCGGAAACAAATGATGCTAGTACATGAGAGATAAACTATGCTACGCTCCTGATATGAAGGGATAATACTTCGTGAACATGTATCGTTAGAACTGAGAAAGGTGTGAATAAGACTGATAGAGAAATTGTCAGTATTTTAATTCGACTTTAAGTTTTACATATATTTGGTGAACTGGTATGAAAGAATGACTCTAAAGAGCACTTTAGCAATCTCTGGATAAACATATTAGGTCTATTTCTTCTTGATTGAAAAGTTGCTTTTTCATGAGTATCATTATCAGTATTATATTATTTGTCCTTTAGGTTCCTAATGGAACATAGGGCTTCTGTAGCACATCGCCATTTCACTCCCTTCTCTTCAGTATTTTTAACCTGGCTCTGTGACTGCCTGCCCATTAGCTTTCATTTCTTCTTCATACAATCTCCTCCTTGTTATCCTCACCTCGGGCGCCCAACTCGTCGTTTCCCCTTTGGAATCCATTCGAGGGCCTGGTGCGTGATGTCTCCGAATGGTTTTCTAAGTGTATGCCTAATCGATCTCCATTTTCTTCTGCATATTTGTTGGGCGATGGGTTCTTGGTTGGTTTGTTCTTTGACAGAGTCCGTTGTTGCTTTTTCTTTCTAGGCATCTGATCTTCAGTATCGAGTGAGTGAGCATAGATGGCAGCTGTTGATGAATGTCTGTAGTTTGTTAGAAATACTTTTCGTAACGCGCCAAGTCTTTTGACCATATAGAAGGACTGATTTGACATTAGTGTTGAAATGACGAGTCTTGTTTTTTATGCTATGTGGTATGCAGTGCAAGGCTTTCTAGTCCACCACATGCAGCTGGTTTTCTTGGTTCGTGGAGAATTATTTTTTGAAGGAGTAAAATCTAGTGGGGTCCGCTAAGAATATCCACTTTCATAATTCATATTCATCTGTGCTATAAATACACTGATAGATTTGATGTTACATGCCTCCGTTTACACTAGATGGCTAATTTCCCTGGAACTACCTTGTCAGCTTAGGGTGTTCTGACGGTATACTTCAACTAGTCAAAACATTAACAAAATCCAGAGTCTTCTGAGTGTCTTTAACCATAATCTGAATATGTTAAGTTTGCATTTCACATGTGCTAAATGCAAGGTGGTATTTCACGACTGGTTTATACCAGCGCCTAGTTTAGAGATATGAAGTGAAGACATGGAATGTACTTACTGCTCTACTTACTTGGACAGCTTCATCAGTCTTGCTATGCCTGTTTGGTGTTTGTCAACAAATGCCACTGCTAGCACTATTAAGCTGTTTGATTGTCTACCAAACGATAAGTGTGCTATGTATCTGTGTGAGAAGTGACTATGTAACGGAGCGACTGCACTTCTTTGATCATAAGTGACCTTGTAGCATGTTTGCGTATGGTTAGAGACTCTAACCCTAACGACTGGAAGTCAACTGTAGTATCATAGGCTTATCTACTGTTCATTTTTTTTAAATGTTGAATATTGTTAATACTATGCTGTCCAACTGATCATTCACCACTGTTCATTAACTATCTACACTCGAAAACCGTTTGGATAGAAATATATTCCCAGTGAATGCAATGGGTAAACTAAATTCTTTAGTAATACATCCATAGAGGAAGATTTCCGGTTTGTATAATTTCATACTGAGAAATGATCATGATTACTTTTTTTTATTTTCAACAACAATCTGTTCACGCGTCTTATGAAGTCTGATTCTAATGAAATGCTAAGTTAAACCGGATAACGATTAAATCCCTGATTTCATTTCCTGCTGTCATATGTTTTTGACAAGTAACGTAATAATCGCAACATTATAGTGTTTATTCCTTAAGATAGTTTGGAAAAATAACTTTTAAGCGTTTCATACAATTTTTTAATTCATAAATGAATGAATACAAAACAGTGATATCTAATAAAGGTGTAAATTCAAACAGTCGATTTATCTTATATGTTAACTTTGTGTTAATGATGTATAACTTTTTATAATTACATATATTTAAGGTAGTATTCATAGCGAGCTGACATCATTTGGAGAACCACTAAAGACTTGTATACATTAGACAGGTGTTTTGTCCTAGTATGGGACTCCTTAACAGTACAAATCCACCAACCCATCAGAAATCGAAATCAGGGCTTCTAGGTCACGCTGGAGGTGAAAGCGCTAACCATCCAGTCACTAGGGTTGCATTTCAATGGCCTACACTTTCCTACTTCTCTCATTTTGCGATGTGACGTGATCATCCAACCAACCAATTAATGAGTATCCCAGTCTTTAAGAAAGGTGAGGAGTCCCCTTGTGATAAAAATAGAGGAGTCAGCTTGACGAACATAGTGTTTAGGACTCGAGGTCCTGTAACCATTGGACGCCTGAGTGGAGCTAGAGAACAGCAAACCCGAGAAAACCAGACAGGATTTAGATCTGGTCGTGGGTATGTAGACCAAATATGCACGCTTCACCAGGTTCTGGAACAAAGATACACTTAGTGATGCCCAGCAATAGCTGTTCGACGCCGTCGGTCGAGAAGTCTAATGTTGTTGCTCCCACCGGGGTTCAAACTCCGAACCGATCACTTCAAATGCTACAGCGTTATCCACTAGACCATCAAGTCATGATAGTCACTTCTTGTGGGATGGACAACAACATTAATCTTTATATGATTCGTTTTTATTTCGTATCTAGGTGATAGATGACTGACTAATCGATTGAAATTTCCAAATCTACTCCGTAACTTAATAATCAATCAAAAATTCAACCGTTTGACCTTGACGTCCTTGTGAAGAATTGTAGAGAATCCGTCTTATTTTTTATCATTAGGATAAAATTCCTCTCTAACTAGGTGTGAAAAGACCCAATGATATTGAGTGATTGTTTCGCTCTGTACCACTTTCAATGTTATACTCACTGACAAAATCTTATATGATAAACAGACAAACGGTGACGTAGGGAAATGTTTTGCATCTATAGTTGAAAAGGTATTAAACTGATTAAAAAAATTAGTTTGGTTATTGTGATTAAAAATCTAAAAAACCAATGGAAAAGCTGCATAAATTGACCAAATTGCATCATGATTCGGACGAATAACTGCCAGTTATAACAACAAACTACATCCTGTAGCAAGACATTGGCCATCATGACTCACTAGCCTAGAGGATGACGCTACGATGTTTACAGTGTTTAGTACTCGATTCAAATATCAGTGGCTGGAACACCACTCACTGGAAGGCAGATACATGCGAAACATACTACTTGAGTAATTAGAAACCACTCAGACTTATGCATAGATTTTGTCAGTCAACCAGCCAGATCACAGTAATCTAAGCACCGCATAACTGTTTCGCTCTTTTGGCGTACAGCTTATTAGTGGTGTACCCAGATAAATTCAACTCACGCAGCCGAATTAGTTCAAACCACCTATGTCGGTCTAGTTGACTTGTTAATCGGCCACCCTGTTTAAAGCCAGATGCTTCTGGATAGTGCAACCTAGACAAGAAAAATTCACATCCTGAGACCCACTGCCACCTCCTATCCATTTTCAATGTACCGAATCTTACCATTTTATCATTCTTCCTTTCTTTCTTCTCTTCTAGTACTTTGTATTTCTTTTGACTGCATTCACTTATCTTCATCCTTCACCTCACTACCTTACTACTTGATGTACTGTACTGAGCTGTAGTAACTCGGACCGTTACCCAGTAATGCCTGGTCCTATGTTGATATTGATGATGATAATGATTTTACCATTTCGGTAGCTAAACTAAATTGCATCTCAAGTAATCAACTATCTAGTAAACATATTTCATGCTTATTGTTTTTCTGTGTTTCTTTAAGGTTCAGGATTCGGTATTCTAATGGTTTGTGCTATAGTTGCAGTCAATTATTATTTCGATCGATATCGTGGTATGGCATCGGGTATAGCTATGTCTGGTGCAGGTATCGGTACGCTATCAATACCAGTTTTTTACAATTGGATTATACATGTTAAAGGTTGGCGTTCAAGTCTACTAATATATTCATTGACTGCAAGTTTACTGACAGCTCTAGCCTCGCTCACATTTAAACCATTTGTTACAGCTAGCCTAGATAATGATGTTGAACAATCGGGAATTATTGAAGATATGAAAAAGTACAATCCAAATCAAATGTCTACTGTTAAAAATGTTCCTGAAATTCACTGCACCGATGAACATGAGTCAGAGTTAGGTGATATAAACTCAAACAAAACCAGTGATGTAAGTTCTCTGTTTATTTCCAATAACCTATTGCTCACATAACACTCCATGTAATCTTTTTCTAACCTATAATATATCTGGTATACGTTGAAAAGAACAATTCTAATAACAATAGTTCTGGAAGAGATTTCTTAACTGAACAACATTTTCATTTGAAGGTGGAGAGGACTATCAGTTCATATTGGATTCATATCTCTTAATTCTCATCAATATTATTGTGTACCGTGGTACACACTACACGGAGAGAGAAAAAATTCTCCGAAAACTTTCCGTATTTTACTTGTATTTCTACCTTTTGCATTTCCTTTCTTCTGATTTATAAAAAAGTTTTCTTCCCTGATTACAACAACACTAACAATTTGAATGCGCGCTTTGGCTGTATATGAGGAGTCCCGTTTGTAGAAAAATTGATCAGTGATGATTTACAGGATACAAATATCCATAAAAGATTTAGTTCAACTGACTAAGGGGGGATAAAATGCAATTAACACTGCTATAATTAGAAGCAGACTACATCTGCGAAATAAATGAGCATATAGAAACAGGATCATATGAAGAAATTAAGAAACCAATGTATACTATAGTGAATAAAGTTGAGAAATCTACTGAGAATCTGATACGCCAAATGAAGCTGTTTCTAGATGAGTCAAAATGGTTTCGTTTACTGCCAAAAACCAATAATCCCAGTAGAATGTATGGTACTATTAAGATTCATAAGCCAGTTTATCCTATCAAGCCTGTAGTAGATTTTAGAAACACTCCAACTTACGAGTTGTGTAAATATTCAGCAACGGTGCTAGGCCCGATAAGAAATCACTCAAAATCTCGACTTATCAACTCTTATGACTTAAAGCATAGATTAGATGATATACGAGTCGATGACAATGAAAAAATGATTAGTTTTGACGAAACTAGCCTTCACAAGAATATACCGATCAAAATGGCTCTACACGCAGTTAGAAATGGCTTTAAGGGTGATAATGAACTTACACATCGATCGAACCTGCTGGTCCAAGGAATCATGCTTGGAGTATGATTCTGCCTGACGTCTACAACTTTTAAGAGTCAAAGTAAAATATATAAACAAACTGAAGGCCTTGCCATCGGATCACCATTATTTCCTATCGTCGCAGACTTATTTATGGATAATGTGGGAATGGATGACCCTTCAAACATTCAGTCCTATTATAAAGATATGGTTCCGATATGTAGATGATACATTTACAGTAGTGGAATTGGAACACATTAGTAGGTTGTTGACACACATGAAATCAGTAGTGAATCCAACTCAATTTACCTGTGACTCAGAAAGTGATGAAGGTGAGCTAGCAATGTTGAATTGCAAGACTGAAGGAACACAAGACGGAAGTTCAGAGACTAGTGTCTACAGGAAATCTTCCCATTCGAATGGCTACTTCGACTCCAAGTCCTCCCACCCCATCTCAATTAAAGTAGGCTTAGTTAGATGTTTAAGTGATAGGGCAAGAAAGTTTCCTAGTAAGACAGAAAATCTACGACAAGAAATTAGACATCAAGAATACCCAGAGTCTCAGTAATTATCCACTCAAGTATATAAATGAATTCACAAAAAGTCGAAAGAAAAATATTATCAGTAGTAGTAATACAGGTGTTAATAACAAAAATTCTACTAGTGATGGTAATAATGGTATTGATAACTGTGACAGGGTTGAGGGAGAATTCAAAGCCTTCACTGTGTTACCATACATGGAAGAAACCTCAGAAGCATTATGAAGAATTGTCAACAAGGCTGACTAGGATTAAAGTGGCATTTAAACCAACAAACTCTCTTACAAACAAGCTTTGTACGTTAAAAGATCCTGTTGATGCAATTAAGCAAAATAACCTGATGTACCGAATCCCTCACAATGATTGCGAGGTGAAATACATAGGTCAATGTGGTCGACTAGGGTCGATTAGAATAACAGTACAAAGACTTAGCTAGACCCGAATAGGATGAGAGATTAAGAGAAGGAAGGTCGACGACAGTCCTTCACGCGACTACACACAACCACTTAGTAGGGTGGGATAGATTGACAGTATTAAAAACTAACTTAGTTGAGTAGATGGAGCGAGAGATTGATAACCGAATCCTTGTTTATCGAACCAATACCAAATGCATGCAGTAATAGAATGATTCTGCACCTGTCTCAGATACATGGAAACTTCTACTCTCCTTGTCATTACAAAGAAGGAGAGAAGATTAGGACTATATAAACTGTGTCTCGAAGTTGTGGAGTTACCTGATCTGAATATGGATAATAAATTACGTCCGAAACGTTATTCAATAAATGATGCTGTTTCACTGTGTGACACATCTAATAAACAGAATCAAATGGAATTACAATCTACCACAATGCCCAAGGTTTACTCTTATAATAATTTATCAGCACTTGTCTAAATACAAATTTTGTCCTCAAATCTTGATTTTTATACTGGATACTGCATATAACAGACAGACACAAACAAAATCAACGTAGAACTTCGCAAATAAGTGCATTGGTTCACGTTGATACATTTGACGGTAGTGTACAGAGAACAAGTAGACAAGAAAGACTGATATAAAAGCGAACAGAGGTTAATGCTTAGAGAACCAGTTTGAAAATGATGGTTAGTGAAAGTGTTCAAATTTTAGACAGTACCAGAGAGCAGATATATCTTTACCATTGTGACCGATTTTCAGCCGGCTTACCGGCATTTTTCAACCATCGATTCTTATAGTCTCCGGGACCTCATCCACATAGTTTACATGGCTACGTCTTGGTCTGGCCTCCCTGAACCCGCTTCCAAACTAATCCAACTTCTGTTTGCATTGCCCGTCGAGACGAGCGGTGACTCGTAAGGCGCAACATATGTCAAAGTCACCTCAATCACTGAAGATGCACAACCTTATTGACTGGCATGCCTTCCTGTCTGATACCCTTCACCTAACATCTACATTGCTCACATAAGGATTCCAGCGTACTCCAGTAATGGTACAAAGATGCGTGTGATCAAAAACTTGTAACTGCTTCACATCCTTCATCTTTCAAGGCCACATTTCACATCGTTTAACAGGACAGAACGAACGGAGGTGCGGTGCATTTATCGTTTAATAGGCAATCGAATATCTTGCCGGTGTGAGAGATGATGCAAACTGGCAAATGCCAGACGGTCATTCTGCACCTGAGCTGAGATTCTGTCAGCATACAACTGCAATCCTAACAAACTGTATTATGAACCATTTCATGTCTTAGCTTGGACACTCAAGATAGGTCAGCCTGGTGAACAGTGTCTGTAGACTGAATCAAAATCCTCGTGACAGTGTATTGTAATTCACTGTCGGGATTGATGTAAACTATGTAAGGTAATATGAAGTCTGGTTAAAATATTATCTATAAGTGTCTTGTTCTGCCTATCTGCTTCTAGGCAGTTGAAATCACATCCTTATGTATACGCTATTCTTTTGTTTTGAGCGATATCTACATGATAATTTTGAATACTTTTCCGATACTTCAAGTTGGTATTCATCATGGACTGACAGCAGTTGGAGGAACACTGTAAACCTGGGAGCACTGGTTATCCGTTTCATCCTCTTATGGGACTCCTCGGGAGTGCGCACCCATGACCCTACACCCCAAAACATCCAACCCAGAGCCTTCAGGTCTCGTGGCCATCACGTTACCATTGAGCCACTGGGCTGGAATCCAGTGGTCCATATTTCCTACTTCTATCAGTTCACGATATAGCGCAACCTACATCCAATGTCGTCGCTGAGTATTTGTCCTCACAGTTCCATACTAGGAAGAAACAGCTATCCCTTCTCCCAGATTTGAAGAACTCCTCCAACTGATGTCAGTCCATAATGAATAGCAACTTGGAAAATCAATAAATCCCCACAAACCCCTAAATTCTCTGATACTTTAAAAACTTGAGCCATAGACGTTGATCTTTGCCATTAAGAACTGATGATATCATAGGATAAATTTTTATTTTGGTAGCTAACTAAACACTAAGACGTAAAAACGATTCTCAATAATAAATACGCTCGATATCCGTATTTCTCGATAGAATAAATACCTTTTCTTCCCCTCTCCGTTGATCCAATAAGCTTTAAACGAAGTCCATCATGATGCTGGTTGCATTATCCCGTCTCTGACTCGTCCGAATTGACCGGCCTTTTGTGCGGATACCTCGATATTCCCTGTCATTTCGACGTTATAGTAAACATGGATGAGTGATAGCTAGCTGGGGATCCGCGATACGCGTTTCACCCCATTTGGGACTCGTCAGCTGGATATACCTCCCTCCTAATGAGTGATTTTATTCCCACTAAAACTCCAACCAAGGATTCAGTGGCCTGATGGATAACTCTGTGGCATTTGCAGCAACGGGTGCGAGGTTCGAGTCTCAACGGAAACAATATGACTCACTAGGAGACACGTACATTCAGGTGACGAGTACCAAAGTGGAAGAAACGCATGTCCTGAATTCCACTGCTAGTCACTGTCCATCACCCAAATGTATTATGATTTCTAAAATTTTACTGCTTCAAAATCCTTCTGAAAATCCGGTTACACCATGAAGTATCCAGTCGGATTTCAATAATTATCTATTAACTGTAAAATTATAGACAATATCAATAAATTATGGAGCTATTTATATTTCAGCTACAGCTACAAGTGCCTTGATTTTACTCCCTTCGAGTGGTTTGATAAAACCCTGTGAAGGATTTTGAATAAGTTCTCAAAAGGAGCTAAATGGCTTGAGTTCACGAGTTGATCGGTTATTGAACTGGAGATATATTTCCATTCTCTCTTTGCCAGTCAGGTTGGGTAGTGTTCGTTTGCACTGTATTGCATAATTACATTTAATTTCATAATCCCTTATCTATTTTCCCACTCTAAATTGTTTAGTTATTCAAAATATTTATCTTTCCTAATAAAACTTTTACATAAATTATAGTCTATGTATGCTTGAATAAAATATGAAACGAAGTTGACATTTCTGACTATATTTCATATTGAAAGAATTGAAGTTCACTTCGTGTTTATACTCATTCGATTAGTTTACTTGGCTTGCTTCATCACTTTTATACGCATTTTGTTAAATTGACAGAGACTGCCTTTGAAATAATTCATACATTTTACGCGTAATAGTGAACTAGGTTAAACAAATCCATTTTTTTCGGTTAGTGTCAATAAAAGTTATTGAAATAACAAATATTCACTATCTAATCATACACTCACACTAAAGAGGCTATTATAAGATTTAATAGGATGAGAAAATGTAGAGGTTAAACTGTCTAGGTTAGTCTAGATTAGCTACCAGACTGACAGTTGAATATGAATTCAATATGTATGTTGTGTTGGTAATCAAATGAATAGTCTCTCGTCAACCAACTTGACTATCTAACATTAAAGATTAGACATTAGATTAGCAACTAAGTCTCAGTCTTACTATAATAATAAAGTTTTCAATTCATTATGTAATTAACACATCTGTGAGAATAACTTTATACTCATGTGTTAATTAAGTATTCTCAATGTAAATCATTATGTGGAGTAACCTGAACTATGTGATTTCCCCCATCATTAATGTGATTTATGCCAAATGGAAATCGATGGCCAATGTGATGTGGCGTGTAGAACGTAGAACCTCAATTTCATATTAAATTTGTTTATTTGATGTATAACACACAGTGAGACAGTACTGTTTATTGGATGACGACGTTTCGAGCATAAATCACTGTTGATAATCATATTGATGTAATCACACTACTTTGGACTTCTTTTCTATCATCCTGTCACCTTTTGTTCTTTGTTTCTGTTGGTGTTGAAATTTTCTACATCTCTGGTATAGGTGTTGCGTCATTTCTGTTACATGCGTTGGTTGTTGGTTAATTCGATGAACAAAGATTCAGTAATCAATATCTCTCTCCACCTAACCATATTGGGCCTTAGTACAGTAGTTTTATCCCATGCACCTTATTATGTAGTTGTGTGTTAATGCATGCATTCCAATAGCCGAGATATTTTCTGGCTTATTGATCGTATTCTGGTCTGTCATTACGATGCTCCGCTATTCCAAATGACTCCGACCGGCTAGTCTGACCTACATAGTTGCCCTCCCAGTCATTACATGGAATTCGACAAATCAGATTATTTTGCTTAATTACATCTATCGGATCCTTAAGCCAGCCAACAAAGCCTATCTCTGAATGAGTTTGTATGTTTAAATGGCACCCTAATTCCAGCTTTGTTGAGGATACCACGTAAAGTTTCTTATGTACCTTCCTTATAGGGTAACACAACTGTGACTGTGAACTCCTTTCTACTGGTGTTGTCCAGTAACAACAAATAATAACCAATAGAAACAAAGAATAAGAGGTGACAGGACTGTAAATAAAGGAGATGCCCAAATTAGTGTGATTACATCGATATGATTATCAGTAGTAAGTTATGCTCGAAACGTCGTCATCCAATAAATAATACTCTCACCGTGTGTTATACATCAAATAAATCTAATATGGAATTAAATTCTACCACAGTGCCAAAGTCTTATACTTATATTGACGTAGAACCTCGCATACAGATGTATCGGTTCAAATTGCTGCACTTCATTGTAGCTGGGTAAAAACAAGTGAACAGAAAAAGAAAAGTAGAGAAAGGTGTATAGGAGGAAAAGGAAACTTAAAAATGTATGTTAGTTTAAAAATCTAAGCTTAAGGACACATCAAACAATAATAACATGTGCACCATTGTGACTGATTTTCAGCCATCTCACTAAGAGTCCTCAACCACTGATCCCTAAAGTCTCACGGCCTCCAGATAGATAGTATATACCTCGTTTTACGGCTCAGATCAACAGTCGAGGACTTCAGACACTGAAGGTACATGTCAGTCACCACTTTATTTGAATACTCTTTTATGGCGTACGCCCAAACCTTTATACCACTAAAAAAAACAACTTTATTTGTACTAAGTAATTGGAAGATTATAGTGATGTTTTACTGTTATTCCAAGCGACATTTTAAATTTTATATTTCTGAAATGAATCTGTTCAGTTTGCCAACAGATTGGTCAGTCTTAAAGGACCCGTCTCACATACATTTCATATATATGGTCGTCTTGCTCAAAGAAGTAACAGCACCAACTTGTTTTCTTTAAATGAACTAAGCTAGTCAATAAACGAGGTAGTGTTTTATCCTAGCATCTTAGTACCCCCTGACAGTTTACTAGCTTATCGATTATTAGACAAAAGTACCTCGCTCCTGATCATAATATCACTTGATCGACTTTTTTACTAAATGGTAGTCTTAAAAAGCACAATGATAAATTTATCATTTGACTATCTGAGATAGCCGCAGTTTGCCAGACTAGTACATATACTAGCTGACGACTGAAGGTGATATGAAAATTTGGGCCGCGACCGGATTCAAAACAGAGACCACCGAGTTCTTGGCCTACTGATCTACCAACCACGTAGCTCAGTTGGTAGAGAATCGGGCCGGAAACCTGATGGTCAGCGGTTTGAATGCGGTGGTGGTCTCAGGTTTTCAGTGGTCCTCCAATTTATACCAGTGCGCGATAAAAACTACCTCAAAATTGTTATTTTTACTATCATTGATACTGGCTGCTGGTTGAAGGTGACATGAAAGTTTGGACCACGGCGATATTCAAGCCAGCAACCACCGCGTTTCAAACCTGTGCTCCATCAACTGAGATACAAGGTCCAACTGCTGACCAGACTTTTATTTCACTTCAGCCATCAAGGGTTTTTGTGGCGTTGCTCAAGTTTAGTCGATTCTTAATGTTAGGTGTGAGATATTAGGTTGGAAAGACAAGTCAGTTGATGAAATTGTGAAAGTTCACATAATGAGGTGGCTTTGAATTGTTGCATATACCTAACCACTAACCTAGATTGAAAGAAGGATGGGGGTGACCAGATGGAAACTTGATACCACTCCACTAAGTATCCAACTCTCAGTATTTCTCATGTAGCAAAGTGAGGACTGTTTGACTGATATTGTCGAGATAATAGGTATCAATATTTTGAGAATTCTAGTGACATGGCTCGAAATCGGTTATGATAGCGCAGATGTATTCACTGTTAGAGTTTTGTCGGGCCAGAAATCTGGTGATTGCTGGTTGGAATTCGGCGGCAGCTCAAATTATCATTTCATCTTCAATCATCATCTAGTATAAATAATAAATTTAATTTACGGGAATTATTAGTTTCAGTTAGGTACACTGGATACTGGTCTCAAAATGTATGAATTATCAAAATGAAGAGTTTTAATAACACTTTTTTCACAAATTTTATCTTAATTATTACAAAACATACATTTTATTGCCTATTTTAAATCTATTTGATAGATGGCTATTCACTTAAACAGTAGACTTGATGACTATACATTACACTGTACACAAGATTCTATAAAAGAAGAAATAGGAGGAAGAAATGAACAAGATAAAAATATTTCAGATCATGTAAACACTCAATTGAATATTGATAACTATGAAAAAACTTCAAATGATTGTAGTATAAAAAAAGACGGAAAATTTTCCATTGGATTCGCTAATGCACTACGTCAGTATTTATTGAATCAGAGAGGTAAGTTACTTAACTGATGATTGTTTGATTTTTCTCTAAAATATTTTTTTTGGTTAATGATTTCATTTGATCACTTCTTAGATTTATTATCTAACTGTTTTCGACAACACACATCATTATTATTTGGAATAACTTGAAGAAATTCGAGAGCATAAAATAATAGGAAATATTGACCTGTACACTATGAAATTGGGTCCATCAGATAGAATTAGTCGAAAAATTTTCATCATATCTATTGGTATTCAGTAAATGATAATGAAGACAATAAAATAAAATTAAGCTTTATTCATATAATGGTTATTTGTTTATCTGAGAGGATAGAGTGATCAGCGAGAGGCAGAAAAGTGGTTGGAAGGTCCTTAATTCCTGGTATGTATAACTTATTCTGTAGTTCATCTTATCACTAGTTCTCATCGAATTATACAGACTTTGAACGTATAACTTTCAATCAGGATCAGAGTTCATATTACACGAATAAGCGTGGAACTCTTCCTTATTCAAAACTGATGAATTCCCATGCTTACCACCAACCGTACCCCTTCACTACCATATATCTGGGCTAAACTGCAAAGTGATAAAATGGATCACATGTCACAGATGCATTATATAACACAGATTTGTGACCTGTTTTTCCTCCTTTTAAAATAACTTCAGCTAACTTCATTTATTGTCAGGTGTGTGATATTTGTGTACAGTCGTTGATCTCAAAAACTGACTACCGACATAATTCCCCGTTAGTTTTTTTACAGATACTGCAGTTAATTTTTCAAATGATACTGTCCCACTCTAAGATCCTCGGAAAAAAACATAGTTTAGAGAGCATATAGTCCTGTTATGTTAGTTGGGTGGAGACAATCGACAGGAAGTGCTGGACCTAGGTTTCGTGCTTGTTGGCGCTCGTCAACAAGTGCAATTGAATTGATATCCTATCTGAGATCCGAACCCCCGTAACCCACCTAATATCTATCAAAGTGCATCGCGATGTTCAGTTACCTAGTCTGGTGTCCACATTGCAAAATGATCGGTAAAACTACGCAACATCAAGTTGGTTTCCATACCCCACCCCCTAGTGACCAATCAATGTATAGTCCTGCTATACATAATACTCCCAAGATGCATAGTGGCTTGAAAACTTTATTCTTTTATGTAAAGTGATTTCCATGCGTTTTTTATTTGTCAAATATGAAGCGATGCTTCAGAATTGGTACATGCATCCAACATCCAGTGTATTCATAGGTCGTAAAAGAGTTGTATCAGTAGTGGATAAAACTGCTAGATGGAGGTTATAATGAGATTTACGTTTTCTATGCTATCCTGCTTATAGCACTGATGTCTTTCAAAGGATAGGTAAGCTGTCGTACAACCACACTATCTGCTGATAGGAAACGGTCACTTTAGATGAAAGGTGTATAATAAAACTACAGTTATTCAATTATATATTTGTTCCAGTTGTTTGCGATTTGGAGTAGAGCTACTGACTGAGAGATGTTGTGCTTATGTTCAAAGTTTTAGCTTAAATTGAAGATATTAACTTATTTAATTAGGAAATCGCAACTGACTACAATATTTGTTGTGTAAAGGAAGTAAGTTTTATTTATCACCCACTTCGCTATACGATAATGGATATGATAGAATTAAAAGGAAAAAATCCTTCACAATTGATCAAACCAGACATTATTATCTATCCAAACCCCATAGGAAATTTCAAATTTCCTGTTTAGCCTCCTTGAGATGCTATAAATCAATATTTACTGCTATGATACAAGGCTGACAAAATGGCGTAGATGTACACATATTTTATCCTTCCAAAGCACTCGAACAATTTATTACTCTGTTCTTATTATATTCTTGTCCGCTGATATTACTATTGTGGTAGATGGTCGTATGTTTTGGTCAATCTCCTCCATCTGAGATGTTGTTGGAGATTGCAGCTTGAAGGGTTAAATTTTCTCCTAAAGCTCTACATTACCATCTGTGTCTGTTTCTGTTTGTGAATGTGAGAAATAACTACCTGATTTCTGATCATCCCGAAATATCATCATTCTAAGTGGTTTGTGTTTGCTGATCTCCACGTAATTCTCTAACCAGTCGAAAGTTAACATATCAGTCTTATAAACCAATAACTGCTACTTACACTTACAATATAACAAAAAGCTATGTTATAATTTACTTGATGTTGGTTAGCAGTGAAACGCAGAAGACGCATTTCGTCCTATGTTAGATTCATCGCCATAAACGGGAGAAACCTAAAGGAAGTAGCCTCTTTCACCTACCTAGGCACCATCGTTTCAAATACAGGCGGCAATGGCACAGATGAGGACGTCAAAGCCAGGATCGGAAAAGCAAGACAGGCCCTCCTGCATTAATCTGAAATCAGTGTGGAGACCTACTGCACTCAGCATAAAGCGTGAACAACATCCGGATTTTCAACACTAATTCAGTGCAGTCAGTCAGTGCTTCTATGTGGTACGTAGACTGCGAGTTACGAAAAACATTTCCAACAAACTATAGACATTCATCAACAGCTGCCGTCTACGCTGGCTCACTTGATATTGAAGACCAGACCAGATGACCAGAATAATAAGAACAAACAACAAGGAACTCTGCTTGGTTAGTTGGCTTGCTGCCAACGAACCACCAAAGCAAGAACCCATCACCCAACAAATATGCAGAAGGAGGTAGAGATGGATAAATTGGATTGGACTGAACATACACTCAGAAGACGGTTTGTTGAAATCACACGCCAGGTCAGGCCGTCGAGTGGAATCCAAATGGGAAACGACGAGTTGGGCGTCCGAGGTGAGGGTGAGATGGAGGAGATGGCGTGAGGAAGAAGTGAAAGGTGATGGGCAGGCAGTCGTGTAGCCAGGTTGAAAAGACTGTAGAGAAGAGAGTGAAATGGCGATGTGCTGCCGAAGTCCTATGTTCCACTAGGAACCCAAAGGACAAATAATAATCATAAAATTCATCAGTTGGATCAACCTGCATTCCAGTGAGTGATAGCGTTCCCGTTAACACTCAGATCCCGTACTCATTGGTTCAAACGCCTTAGCGTTACCCAGTGGGACGCTCTGACACTAGCTAACTAGTCCCAAATGGGATGAAATGCGCAACCTGCATTCTACTACTGGCCACAACCGATATCGAGGTATCCTCACAGGAACCCATATACCAAAATAAGTCAACCAGTTACCAACAAATAATAACCACAGATATGTTTTTGTGTACGAAGGGTTTGACTTGGGATATTACGCAGTAAGGATAAATGAATATATGTTTATCAAAAAACATGATAGAGTTGTAAATATACTTGGCAATGGTTGAGTATGAAATGAAAATTTAGACTAGGGCTGGATTCGAACCAGTGACCATCGGGTTACCGGTCCCATACTCTACCAACTTAGCTATGAGGTCCGACTGATAACCAAACTTTTATTTCACTTCAATCACCAAAGTTTTTTCCCCAACTACCATGTAAATTCATGACGTGTTTCTACCGCTTGACGCCTGTGACCAACAGTAACATTGAACAAGTAATCTCAAAGTTAAACACTGAATTCGGCATAAAAGAGGCAAGTCACTTTATGAGATTGTAAGTGTTCGTTTAAGAGGCTTGGACATTTTTTGCATATGCTGAGCTATCACCTACTTAAATGTGCCATGCTAGACGAAATCGGATTGACTTGTAAAAAGCCCAGACCAAGATGTGGCACCAGTCGATGAAGTCCTTGACTGTTGGTCTGAGCCGTGGTTATAGTCTGCTTGGAAGTGGTCCCCAAGATGACTGAAATAATTGGTTGAGGGATCTTAGTGACATGACTGAAAATCGGTCAAAATGGCCTAGATGCATTCACTCTTTGACGACTTCTGAAGCCTGGATACTTTCACTAACCTTTATCGTCGAACAGTTTCTTCGCTTACAAACCTTTATACACTTTGATATCAGTCTTTTTCTATTCACTGTGCACTTGTGTGCGACGTTCTACGTTGATTTTGTGTCAGTCACTCAATCATCAACTTAATTGGTCTAGACATTCTGTTGTACACGATGGGACATACTCTTTCTCAATTTGTGATACTGAATTCACCAGCATTAGTTTAGAAGCAGGCTCATCCATCATATATGCAGATCAACATAAGACCAGACATTACTGCGTAGTGCTCCGACTGGCCATAGCTCATATCAGTACATCAAGTAAAATGGCAGTGAAGTGCAAGATGAATAAAAGGCAATTCAGTCTAAAGAAATATAAAGTACGAAAAGAGACAAAGAAGAATGAGAAAATGGTGAGATTCGGTATAGCGTCGTTATGATGAGGATAATGTGTGTGGGGATATATCTGCACCACTCACATCGGTTCTGAGCCATATCACCTAGAGTCTCTAACCACTGGTTTCTCTTGTCCCGCGGACCCCAACCGACTAGTCTGCATTGTCCCATATGGCTCAAACCAACAGTCAAACACCTCATACATTGATGCCATGTTTTAGTCTGGCCACCTCAGGCCTTTTTCTAGCCTTGACCTACTTCGGCCAATATTGTGTGTCGAGGCGATCGGCGACTAGGCATACGAAACATGTGTCCCAACCATCTCAGTCAATGAAGTTTCATAACCTCGTCAACTGATTTACCTCTTCTCCCTAAAACTCTTTACCCTGACGTCTGCGTTACTCACGTGGTGACATCACGGAATACGGCGACCTATACTACGGAGGCAACGGTGGTCGAACACCTGAAGCCACCTTCTCATGTCTTCTCTCCACCTTCAATGGTCATGTTTCACAGCCATACAGTAGAACAGGGCAGACTGGTGTGCTGTACACACGACCCTTAATAGGCAGTCGAATATCATGGCGGCGCCATAGGTGGCGTAAGTTGGTGAATGCCAGTCGAGCCTTTTGCATCCGTAAAGAGATTTCATAGGCCACTGAGCCAACGTGGCAGGTAAGTGAAGTGGTCAACACACTCTATTGTTAGCTGTGGCACCGTTGGAGACCAATCCTAGAGCAACAATTTGCATAGTGTGGTGAGAAACGCATCCCAAGCATTCTCAAATTGCCATTCAAAGTGTTCAGAAGACTCTGCATCTTGTCAGCGTCTTCACCTAACAGGACTATGTTATCTGCATATTCTAGGTCTAACGGAAATTTTCCTGCGATTAGGTCAGCGTCAGCTAACGAGAGGGAGACCTTCATAAGAATATCTATGATGAAATTGAATAACAATGGAGAGAGTGAACATCCTTGACGGACACCACTCGACGAGTACAGCTCCCCGGACATCTCACCACAGGCTCTAATACTTCCACAAGTGTTCAAGTTGAGAGCCTTCAATAAGGTGATGTACTTACTCGGCACGCTTTTCAGTGACAGACATCGCCACAAAACTTCTCGATCAACGGAGTCGAATGTCGTCTTTAGGTTGAGAAATACAGCTGTAGTCGGGTGTCGGTAAGCGTGTCTGTGTTCCAGAACCTGGTGAAGTGTGAATATTTGGTTGCTACACCCACAGCCGTGGCTAAAGCATGCCTGCTCTTCTCGGGCTTGCTGTTCCCTTGCTCCACTCAGGCGACGAAGCATTATAGAACCTATAATTTTAGATACTATGTTCATCAGGCTGATTTCTCTGTGGTTATCACAAGAGGACTTCTCTCTATTCTTGAAGACTGATTTCTGATTAGTCGTATATGCATGGAAACCGTGAGCATAACAGGCCATGCACTTCTGCTGACGAAGAAAGCTTCAAAGTCCCGAGTATCTACCCTTACCTCCTTTACAGAGATGGCAGTGAGTGCCTAATCTGGGTTATCCCACGAAGGTCAACCGTATCTCGCCCTCATTACTCTACCAATATCGAGCCACCTCTCAAAGCAGTCAGATGGTGGTACCCAGGCATTTCATTCTTTACTGCGTGAATAGTTTGCAGACAGTTGGCCAGGTTCAGGAGTTAATCAGCGACTGCTTTTGAAGATGCCATCTCTCATCCAGAAGGGATAATACAAGTTTTGCAGATGTAATGAAGTAGTGGCTATAATAGGATGCCCATGAGCTTTTAGTTGTCACAAACTTGTAAGGATGACAAAATAATTATGCCCGAGGATACCTGCTGTTACCTTAGTTTAATGGTTGAGTGTATGTCGTAAAGACTATTATTAACAACCCTAAATCTTTTCATAGCGAGTCAACTTGTTTCATTCCTTTCTGCAGATAATTTTACAAAAAATATAATGGTGACTACTTATTTGATACTAAAGTAAAGAAATTAGTGAGTGTAATTTTGACATATTACTTGAATAAGAAATTTTATTAAGTAATCTCAGGTTTTCTGTCGTTATCACTATTTATTGACATGCTTGTAATTTTCTGTTGTTTTACTGGATCGAATTGTTCGACCTGTATTGGCATATGGGCTTCTATGCGGATGCCTCGATATTGCCTGAATATTAATTATGGTAATTCACTCGGTTGTAGTTGCCAACAGAGGGATCCAGGAAGAGTGTTTCGTCCTGTTTGGGACTTGTCAGCTGGATGTACCTGCACCTATCTCTCTTTTCTGTTAACGTTCACTAGAGAAAAGAAATACATTTGAAGTGTTTGTGACGTAAATTGTTATCTAAAGCATGCTAACTGCTTCATCCAGCAGTGGAATTATTGAACACTAAGTCAAAGTATTCAGGTGTGGTGGCTTCTACTGATAAAAATGCATATAAGTAGTATATGTTGATAGGTCGGAAGAAGTCATTGGCAATTAAGAGCGATGGGTAAGCATTCTGCCCAAAGAGGCTCAAAAGATGACGTGGCCATATCAGTAGCAGGAGGAGATAGCAGAAGAAGATGAAATTAAACATATTGCTCAAATTGATACTTCATTGGAATTGTATAATATTTTATCAGTAATGTACCTACTTGTCCGTATTTCCATATTAGATCAGTCTATTTGATATAGCACAGTGTTAGCCGACAGTGATAAACACAGATTAACAGTCGTATAAGACTTATGTAGGTAAGTGGAGAGGGAGGTTAGTCACTGAATCTATCGCTTTTCAGCAACTCAGTAAGGATAATTTCAACACCAATTCCAGACATATGAAAAATCTGACTATCAATGAAAATTTTTTAAAAAATGCACCAGTATTACTTTTATTCTTTAAATCAAGACAGAAAAATGTTTAATCATCAACTTCCTTCAGATTTCTCCCGTTGGTGATGACTGCTGCTTGTTGTTGTTGTTGTTGGTTGGGTATCTTCATCACTTCCGTCTTCTCTACGTTCACCTGAAAAAAGTGCTGTCTCCACTGCCCTGCCTCTTCTGTCAACTTGTTAGTTTTCCCCTTTAGATCTTCGAGTTTGTACGACTAGACATTGGACATAAATCATGATCGGAGAAATCCAAATCTTCTAGGGTCATCTCATCGGTCCAGCCAGCGTACACCTATCTTCTCGCTCCTAACAGTTTGTTGCCTGATCCAGTCCAGTTGAGTCGACCACAGTTACGAAGATGATCGGTGACAGTAGGCGGCAACCTTGTCTTGTCTTACTCCTGTCTTCACTTCAAAGGCATCCCTGAGCTTTCCATTGTGAATCACTTGGCATGTAGCATCCTCATATAGTATGTAGCTGTTGAATGAGGTTGATAAAGGTTTGTGGCACTAAAACCGTAGTGTTTGGGCAGTTTCCAAATTACTTCTCCATCGAGGTAAAGATCCAACTGCCTGCCGTTGTATGATGATGCATGGTGTTGCAATTTGATCCACATATGATTTGTTTTTCCTGAAGCCATCCTGTATGCAAATGAGATAATGGATTGAAATTGGTTAAGGAATCTACTTAAAAACACTCATACTTCATATACTTCACTCCGTGTAATATGATACTACTTATTAGATGATGGTCCGAGCTCTAATTATTGGTTGAAATCAACCATATGTTAGTTATCACATTTCATTTTAGTTTAGTTTGCGTAGTACTAATACTTTCTACTTCTTTATTTATAACTACTAATTAGAATCAACAGCACTACCAGAAAATGATAGTGATGCGGAAGATATGGAGTCTATGATTGGTTCAAGGCTGTGGAAGTCAAGTTTGGGATTTAGACGATCTAAACCGTGGTATACAAATCGTCAAGAGCAACCCTCTCAATCTGACCAACAGCGAGATTATGTCAAACGCTCAAGACGTATGACAACAGCAACAACAACAACAATTGATCCAACTGTATTTGATCATATTCACTCAAGTTATATTTTGTCACCTATAAAGAAGTCTAGACGAAAGAAACTTATTTCCCAGTTATCTACTCCATTTGATAAACCAGATGCATTTTATTCAGCTAGCTTGGCAAGTTTAAATCCACGATCCTCTCAAATTCTTGTTGCTTATAAGAAATCTAAAGTACCTTCAGTATATATGAATTCAAATTCAATGGGTCTGGCATATTCACATCCTTCCAAACCATCTTTAGTTTATGCTACAGAATTAATGAGTAAGAAACGAAGTACTACTAATGACTTTATTAGTAGTAATGTGTCAATTCAATCATTTTCTACACCATTATCGAATCAACACAACGAACAAGAACACGACCAACAACAACAAGAGACAATGAATTCTCTTGATAGTCAAATTTATAAATCATCCCGAAGTAATATTTCTCCTGAATTCAATGTTATCGAAGAGAATATACGAGAAGAAGAACTTATTACTGATAATAAAATTCAAGGCAGTACAGAACCTGACTATCCAGCATCCGAATTAGTAACACCTACATCGAAGAGATACTTAGCAGTAATTAGCGAAAAGACAGTTAAATTATTTGATTTAGGCTTATTTACAGAAGCTTCATTCTTATATTTAGTTGGAATCGGCATTACAAGTCAGTTGGCGTATTTCATTCCATATGTTTATTTGATTGATTGTGCGATAAGTTACGGGATGGAACAAAATCGTGCTGTTTTTATTCTTATGATATTGAGTAAGTGATGTTTGCCTCATTCCGCCTAACGTTACATTATTACTTGTCTCTAACGATTTATATTAATACTCATACGATTTCAACTTCGAAAAGCAGTTAAGTCAGCAATGCACTCCACCAATTTACTCCTTTCTTTTTGAGTTAAGTTTTGTTGGAAACCTGTCATAAAGAATTATGTTACCTTTGAAAAGTGCGAAATGCATGTCAAACATATGCGCTTACCAATCAAATATTTCCCAACAGGATTATGTTTTCTGTGCCGAGTTAGATCATATCTTTACTTATATTATATGTTACTGTCGGCTAGAAACAAGTGGCTGTCGGAAAAAATGTAGAAGACAGACACCATTGTAAGTTTGTGGGCACTAAATTCTATTCATACCCCTAAGATTCCTTCCCGGTTAGCTTGGGTTCCCTACTTTGGCTTTCAAGTCATCCAGTGGTGTGATTATGCCTTAACGTCTTGCTTTGTGTAGCAGCACTGCAGTCTGTGAGAGCGTTGGTTAGAACTAAAAATAAACATCAATAAGCATCGTTCCTACAGATTTACTCATCCAGAAATCATAAAAGCTCTAGTGGAAACTCACTCAGAAACTACGTGCACATTCTTGAAGTAAGGAGTGAGTCACATTTATTGTGTGAAGGCTTATGATACTATCTGGCTGCCCAAACTTCGGTAGGTGGAGCGGTGTTGGAAACAGTAACCTATTGCTTGATAGTCAGCTGGCGAAACCAATTCGCCACAACCCCACTCCTCAAATGGCACTAAGTTTAGAACAGTAATTCCTTCCCTAAGATTGATACTAGTTAGACACCAGAAGGTACTTAGAAACTAGCTATCGAATACTCGCTGCGTGTATTTTGCAAACTCACTTCATTGGACCATATAAAGTCTAGTGAATGATCAAACTCTGGTTATATATACAGATCTTGCAACCAGCACCCATAGCTCGAGATTCCAGAGTCTTAACCAATGAGTTTTGTTTTCTGACTCAGGAAAGGGTTCAAACTTTGAAAGTCTCAGGGCGATAATTGTACCTTGATGTTAGAATACTCTCTTTGTCAGTAATGGTAGCTGGGTAAGAAGCTGAAGAGACTGTACCAGTCATGATACTGGTAACAGGGATAGGTAATAATAATAATGGAAAGGAAAATGTAAAGTAGGTAGACAATGAAAAGATGGGTTTTATGTATGGTTGAAAACCTGTAAACTGTCTACACTTCCCTGCCTCACACACCATGAATGTTGACCTTTTGTATTGGTTTTTTTAAAAGAAATGAATTTGTTTTACTAGACTACTGAAATCAAGACATTCGTTCAAGTTTAGTCGGACAAGAACTTTTTAAGTGTTTTGATTTTTGCCCAGTTACATCTAGAAAAGCCATAACGTCGTTAGTGGAAAGCCATAGGAAAAAACAAAATATATACAGCTTTTAAGGCCAGCGAGTTCATACTTGTCTTCCATGGGTTGTCTTATAGAAACATCTTACTGACACACGTCTCTCCAGTCAGCAGTACGACTGTACTCTAAGGACCCAATTATAGCAAAAGTCGTTTGCAATACAACGATAGCTGTATTTAGCCTTGCCCTCCTCCGAACAACATTTCTGAGATGGTAGTACCTGAGGGAGAACAATATAGAAGGCTGTATAGTATCGCGTCACACTAACTAATTTGCGCCTGTAAACAAAAATCAAAAACAAAAAATGTTTTGTCAACAACATTAAACTGTGAATCCTGTGGAATTCTGTATTTCACTCCTAGTAGGGGTTTTGCAATACTAAATCGAAAACAACGATTGCTAGACCCCAGCCAAAGTGACCCGGAGAACTCCAAAAGTTCATAACAGGAAGTACTGAGCTGTATTGTCTACGCGGTACTGAGAATAAGGATTATAACCAAAACAAGAATAATTGCTTCAGTTACGGCAGGACTTGATCACAAGAATGAATCATCAGGATCCGACGAAGCAAACTAGCTAAATGACCAAGAAATATTAATGCGCAAATCAACTGAAGAAATAAAGGTAGCCAATCACAATGAAGGTCATAAGTACAAGAAGAGGTAGGAAGTCAGAAGTAGGTATGACTCACAAACAGATACAGGGAAATTGTCAACATAGTAAACTGATAGTAATGATGGATAGTGGCTAGTAGTGGAATCCAGGATGCGCATTTCATCCTATTTGTGACTCGTCAGCTGGATGTACCTGCCTCCCAGTGAGTGATGTTGTTCCCACCGGGATCCCACAGGATCCTATGTACCAACAGAGACCGATCAATTCGGCTCAGTCAACGACGGTATAATACAAGCAATAACAATAACAATACCCGTCGCACAAGAAGTGGCTATCCGGCTTGGTAGCGTAGTGGATAACGCTGTGGCATTTGGAGCGATTGCTCCCGAGTCCGAATCCCGGTGGGAACAATACTACTCACCGAGTAGCAGGTACATCCAGCAGATCCAGCGCATCCTGGATTCCACTGCTAGCCACTATCCATCATTACTATCACTAGAGCAAAGGCAATATGAGGCATCCGCACAGCAGCCCATATGCCAATACAGACCGATCAATTCGGTTCAACCAACGACGGTAGGATATATATATATACTAATCGTAAACTGATGCTTAGTAATGATTGAAGGTGAAATAAAAACGTGGATTGCACTGGGGATTCGAATTAGGAGCTTTTGAGTTACAACTCGATACTCTACTGAGTAATGAGACGCAGCCACTGGGTGTCAGTAAAATCAGTCTACCAGACCTCTGCTTTCTTAGATAGTCTCATAGTCCCAAGTGACGACCATTTGCTTCCGAATGCAGTGGTTCGGTCTAACAATTCGAATCACAGGGGCTTCTACAATTACAATTACCAGTAACTCTATACGCTGTGATATTAGAACACATGGTCACTTTTGATAATATTAAAATTTTCCAGTAAAGTTTTTGATAGTAGAAGAAACGTGTCGTAATGAAATTAATTCATATTAAGAATGGAGTCAGAATTATCTAATTAGGAATGAGAGAACAGACCAGATCTAGAAGTTTTCCACTCACCTCTACAAAGTGACATTACCAACACTCATGAGATAATGATATTAACATGTACACAAGCAAGCTTATCGAATTTATACTCTTATCATAGCCTGGCGCAACACTTGATGATGCTGCATTATTCATTCAGAAGAAGTCTGATTCACTCAATGTATAACCTTTAATATTGTTAATTTCAAGGTTTAGCGGTACTCTGCCAACACTAAATGGCTAAATGTCACTAGAAACAATCTTGTTTCACTTCTCACTTTCGGGAAAGTCGGAATACTAATATAATAATTCTATATTTGTTCAAACAGATTAAGCTAAAAGTCATTACTTTCATAAGTACTTCTCTCCACTGTTCTGCCACCAGCACACTTCACTATTTCACTGAATGCTTTCAGGAAACTGTTTTAACAGCCCATAGTTGCATTGTGTGCTATAATCCATTCGTATCATAAGTGTATCATACTGGTGGACTGAGATTATGCTTCCTTTTCTGCATGTCGAGATTTGTTGGCTACCATTAAGGACTGATTCAACTCAACAACTACATAGGCTTTAGTTCTGTTTAGAATCCTGCACACCGACTTTCCTCTCCTCACCTGCGAATCGTCAAAATAAAGGTAGATGTGAGTCTACTGTCTCATCCTAGTACGGGACTCCTCAGTAGTATGTACACATGACCCGCTTAGGGATCGAACCAGCTGTCTAGTGTTCCCGGGTTCAAAATGGTAGATAAAGGTCAGTTGAAAAAACAGTCCGTTGTGTTTTCGCATAGAACTTTCGATACATTTTTGATGGTGCTTTTTCTCAAGGTATTCAGAATAGTCTCAGTTTTATCATTCCTCTTGCTATCAACAGGTTTGGATTTGCTTGCAAACTCAAAACCACTGAGAGAAATAGATTAGTAGATGAAACTCTTGTCCTTTTGTATCAGATTTTGATGTATTGATATATGGATCATTATGGCGTAATATTAGTTCTCATGTAGTTGTTGACTGAATGATTGAAAAATACCACTGACTAAGTACAGTAAAGTTGAATAAGCCTAACATCTTAATTGAATATTGTCCATTGTAATGAGTGAGCTCAAGTGTTAATACACAAAGAAATTACTCTTTTGGTTGGTTTTAAAGTCATTGAAGTACAATAGCGTAGATGAAGAACAAGTTTCTGTCAAACATATTTGTTTCCCTTTCATATCAGTCAAAAACTGGTGAAAACTGGGTATTTTATTCACAACTATCGTGAATTCCCTCTCAAGTTTTAAGTAGCAATATAGAAATGGTGGAAATTCAAGATGGTTATGATCTTGCCAGATCTGGCAAAGGCGATGGAATATAGTATGTGTCCTTGCGTGTTAAATTCTGTTGGGGTTGTATGCTATGTGTATGTACTGCAACACATATATCCTAAGCATATTTTGTTACTTCATAACACTTTTGTGTCAGAGATCACACTTTGTGATATTGGTTCCAAGGTTTTCAATGGAAAGCTTACTGATACCTTAATTGGGTAGTTGAAAGACTGAGTTTGGAGGTTTGTGGGGATTTAGAGATTTTTCCAGTTGATATTCATCATGGACTGACATCATTTGGAGGAACATTGGAAATATGGGAGCACTAGACAGCTGTTCCAACCAAGTATGGGACTCTTCAGCAGTACGCACCCACGACCTTCATGTCCCGTGGCCAGCAAGTTACCATTGAGTCACTGGGTTGGAATCCAGTGGTTCATGGTTCAGTTCATGAGATAGGTCGCAGGTTAGACCCCTGGAGGGGTCATGAGTGCGCACTGCTGAAGAGTGCTATACTAGGATGAGACAGATGTCCAGTGCTCCCAGGTTTCCAATGTCAGTCCACGATGAATACCAACCGGAAAAATCTCTAAATCCCCACAAACCTCGAAATCCAATTACACTAGTGCTCATTGGTGACTAGCTTTCAGGGGTGATTCTCGAAGTTCCAATGCGAAGTTGTGACCAGTGGAGAAAATCTGGTGACCATGAGGACAAATACTCAACGATGACATTGGGTGCCTGTCCCGCTATGTCGTAAACTGACAGAAGTTGGAAATTTAGACCACTGGATTCCGACCCAGTGGCTCAATGGTAATGAGCTGACCACGGAACATGAAGGCCACAGGTTCGATCCCTGGCGGGGTCGTGGGTGAGTACTGCTGAAGTGTCCCATACTTGGTTGGAACAGCTGTCCAGTGCTCACAGATTCCTGATGTTCCTTCATATGATGTCAGTTCATGATGAATACCAGTTGAAAAACTAACTAACTATGGGAATTATCCACATGAACTGTACTATTTTTAAATAATTTGCAAACTGATTATTATATTTAACCTGCACACCATTTTAATCATTTATTGTCTTATCTCTTTTATATCAGGTATACTACATACAATTGGTAGACTTATATCTGGTATTATGGCAAACATTTTTCATATGGATTCAGTTTATTTAAGTGGATTAGCAACACTTATTGGTGGATTGGCTCACCTGTTTCTTGTCTTTATATTACCACCAACATTTACATGGTATGCATTATATGCAAGTGTATATGGATTATGCAGTGGTAAGCTTAAAATTGAAACACAACTTATAGATTGGATAATAATCAACTTCATGTTGATATTCATTATGGACTGGCATCAGTTCGAGAACCTGTGAAAACCTGGAAGTACTGGGAAGTTTTTTCGTCCTAGTGTGGGGCTCCTCAACAATACGCACCAAGAACCCAGTGTTCCCAGCTCTCTAACGTTTTCAGTGGTTCTCCAACTGATATCAGCCCGTGATGAACACTACCTCAAAATAAATTACTGTATAATGCTCATTAGTGACATGCTTTCAGATGGATATCAAGAAGTTCTAATGAGAAGTCGCGACCTGTTCGTCAACCGGTCTGAAAGGAAGCGGATAACAACTGAACAGCTTGGGTGATAGTCATGTTATATCGCAAATCGATAGGAGTTGGAAATTGCAAACCACTGTAATCTGACTCATTGGCTAAATGGTTAACGTGTTCGCCGTGAAACCTGATGGTTCTGAGATCGGTCCCTAGCCGGATCGTGGATGCATACTGCTGAGGAGTTCCGTACTGGGACAAAACAGCTATCCAGTCCTCTCAGGTTTCCAATGGTTTTTCAACTGATGTCATTCTGTAATACCCCTGAAAGTTAAAATCTTTAATAACCTCAAAATACACTACTATTACCATTATTATTATTATTATTCGACGAATATTCTGTACAGCAATGATCAATAAAAGAAAATTAATGACTTTACCTGGTAGTCGAGTGTTGAAATAAGAGGTGAATATAAGATAGAAAAAGTGTTTTTTAAGTGAGGGAAACGAGAAGTAATTTCGGTTGAAATCCTTTCTCTGGTTAGTTCATATATGAAATTCTGCTATATGTAAAATGTAGACCCTGATAGCATGCGAAAGATTACATGCAATAGAATAAATAACCTTCAAGACCTTTCTTACATCCTTGTGATATTTTGTATCGATCAGAGATTGAAATTCTAATTCATCTTGTTTGCTAAACTACGGATAGACAATGTTCAGTTATGAGACTGTGCACTTTTCCAATTAGGCCTTCAATGTAACTAAATCCACAACGTCAGGTAGACAAATAAATCCATAGAGAAATGATCAGCTTGCACGTACCAAATAAGATCAATATAATGCGACTGAAAGATGGAGAGGATAATTTCGCTGTATCACAACATTTTTTAAAGTAATTCGATACTATCACCCCTAAAATCTTTAGTTTACAGTACACCTTACTATGACTGGTAGTATGACTTAACAGTCTACGAGCAATGCAAACCTAATGCGCAAACGAATCGACTCTAACGCAAATCAGAACGTCAACCACCACCACAAGAATACTGCTGACGCTAGAAGACAAAATGAGGAAACAGATCGTTGACAGAGAGCTTTTACTGTCTCAACAGTAGTCAATATAGTTGACAGCGATGCTGAATATATACGTTTCTAAATTACCTTGACAACTCTAAATCCACCTATAGGTAAAATAGTTAACAACCAATGACAGTTCAACCTTGAGAGGAGAGGGAAGAAAAGCTAGTAACCGTGTAAAACAGCCATATAGGTTATTCTAAAGTAGTGAGCAAAACAGCAGCCAAAAGCTATGCAAAATTAAGGGTATATAGCACAGTTACTTACTAGAGACTCACTAATCAAACGTTTTTTGTTGATATCATACTTGACCACAAACCGGCATAGATATCGCCTGTTAGTTGGATGAGATTCGTAATGTTTTGATGAAACGCAATGTAGATTTCTTGTCAAAATGAAATGAAATCATGACAGAAGTTAACTCATCAATGTATCTTATGAAGAACTGAACAGAATACTTAGACATCTTTCTTCATGATCGAAGTATATGATTAGAAACCTTGGATCGATTAACATATGAGTGACATCAAAAAACCAATATTACTTTTCATTGTAGAAACTCTTGGTAGAAATATACAAAGTACATTTATTACAGCAAACAACACGGTCCCAGTGTATATGCAATAGGAAAGTGAAACTTTTACTATATACTCACATACACACAGATATACGCTGACTAAGAAGTGATCTCAATCTCTGTACAGCAATTCAATCACTGAGCTTCATATCGTATGATTTTGGTATTATCCAGTGGATTTAATCTTGTCTTTTAACTTATTCAACTAGCCTTCTTGGAGCCTGCATACACCCTGACATGAAATCAACAAGTTTTATTGAATAACTGGCTCTATGATATGTGTACTTTAGTGATTTCTAATTAGGGGTAGACAAGTCATTCGCCTGTAAATGATTAAACCTGGAAAAGTAGTCTGTCATGTACTAGGTAACAGAATGTTTACACCTCTGTCACGAATTTTTTCCTATGAATCCTCAATGTACATTCATACCATAAATAAACAATAATCTGACTGGCTTTCTGATTGATAAATTTTCATTTGGTGATGGTAGTCTCTTTAGTATTTGCAACAACTACCGATTCATCTAATTATCTTAGTATCGAAATCAGTTTGGATAGAGAAAATTTTCTTTGAATGCTGAAAGTGTTCAACTGTGGTTTTGTTAATCTGAGTTTTTACAACAATCATTTTGTTCTTATCTTTGATCTTTTCGATACCAATATACATTTCTACATGTGCATTGTGTCTTCTCAACTAATCAGTCGGATAGGGAATGTTGGTGGCTGATACTTGATATCCGTGCATTGTTAGCTGCATAGCAGTTTTCGAAATATGACACAATTTTAGTGGTCTTTTCAAATCGAAAAAATGACAGAAGGTTATTATTTTTCTCATCAAAGATGATTTAGTAATTTGGTTGGTTGTGGCTAGCAGAGGGATCCAGGACGCGCATTTCGTCCTGTTTAGGACTCATCAGCCAGATGTACCTGCATCCCAGTGAGTGACATTGTTCCCACTGAGACTTGAACCTCGTACCCATCTAACGATTCGACTCAATAAAACAACGGAGAATTACAAGTTTATCAATAAAAACGATTTAGACTGGAGAATATAATCATGTAAGAGAAAAAATTTGTTGAAATTCTGACATCCATTGTTTGTCATTAACCATATCTTATCAGTCTCCCTTCTCAAGTTACACCTAAGCTTTTTTCTTCTTCAGTATTATTGTTTTTCTATGGACCTCTCTGTGTACTGTTATGAAGTATAGGAATTCGAACTAGGTTTTGCATGGATTTACTTTGTTACGACCAGCTGTTGGTAGGTTTCCGTGTAGCTTCAAGGTATGTTGTTTCATGGGGGTGGGCGGTTAACAGAAGAGTGTAAGTTTTGACGAGGTCATGAGAATCTGGGAGAGAAAAGAAGAAGAGAAAAAAGGAGACCGAAGATTCAGCAAGGACAAATAATATACCTACATTTAATAATAAAATATAGTTGAGAAACGGTTTTAAGTCACAGAAGAACAACGAGATAGTCTATAAACAGAAACTAGAAAGTGAATGAGTAAGATTTCAGATGTGTTACAGCTTGTCTATCTTAATAAAATATCGAAATATTAGTCATATTCCTTGTCTGAAATGTGCATTCTTCTCAGTACTGAAGAACAAGTGTTGACCTTACCGATAATCGAGCCCATGACTTTCACATGTCTCACAACTCCTTGTAATGATTTCAAAGCAATTAATACCCCTACCAAATTGCATATCTATAAACTATTTATTGATATCCTCGTACATACAGCTGACAAGTCCCAAATGTGAAGAAACATGCTTCCTAAACTCCTCTACTAGCCACAACCAAGTAAGTTATCATATCTATAAACTAGTTCAGCTTCAAAACAAGTCTTTCTACTATGCGAACTAAACAAATAAATATTAGATCTTTATAGCAGTTCTGTAGACAAATCACTATTGTTTAATAAATATAGTCTTATTTGCAACTTGGGAATGTAGTATGCAATTCTTGAAGTATTTAGTGTATATAATTTTCCTCAGTTACTTTGGTGTATTCTAGAAAGTTCATATATATTGTCAAATACCTATTGCTTACCACTTTCAATCACTCAAGTTGTAGTTGTATCATTTAATGGACTTAATAATTTTCTATTGTTATTCTAAATATACACAATACATCTTATTAGAATAACTTGAATGAATATATTTCATAAGCATTGTAGAACTCGAGTGAATTTTATAAACGTAGAGATTTTTATTATTTTTTATTTATTTATTTAGGAATACCTATTCCACTTATTCCAATACTTTTAGTTCGTTTCAACGGTCTTGAACGTTTAACAACAAGTTTTAGTAATTTAAATCTACTAAAAGGTATTGCATCAATGATTGGACCAATTGTAGCCAGTAAGTTTATTTCGTTTAGTTATATGAGAAATATCTTGCTTAGTTAACCAATGTGAATACAATGAATGAATAAGTAACATATCATGAATTTACATGGTAGTTAGGGCAAAACCTCTTGGTGAATGAAGTGAAATTAAGATCTTGTCAGTAGTTAGGTCGTGGAATACAGTTGACAGAGAATCAGGTTAGTAATCAACAGGCCACTAGTTCAATTTTCACCATGACCCAGATTTTCATTTCACCTCTAATCATCATCCAGTATCGATATAAATCTACCAAGCTATGGCTATCTCAGACAGTCAAACTGATATTGGTGTCTAGGATATGTATACCCAACTTTGAATTTTCTCCTTAAGCTATAAAAGTCAGAAAGAATCCCAATGTTTATTATCGATGAATTAAAAATACACTACCATTAAATCTACAGACTTCATCAAAGGATGATATATGCTCAACAGAATGTTCGATTTCAATCCAAAAAATTCTCTTTGTAATTTATTCACTTAGTACCTTTCTTCAAGGGAGTAAAATAGGCAATTACTGACTGATATTAATCAGTTTAATAGTAGTGAGAACTGTCTGAAGAGTTCATTGGCAAAGTGTGTGACATCAGCACTTGGTGATGAAGGTTGAAATCTTTGAGAAGTTATGAGTCTCCTTCAAAGTGTAGATACACTTTGCTAAATCATGACAAGAAGCACCGAGCCTAAATATTAAGCTTTCGGTTAATTAACTTCTAACATATCCATATTCTAACGTATCCTGGCCAACAACGGACTGGATGGTTTGTCAGCAGAAACGATGAAGCCTTCCTGAAGTGATTAAGTGAATAATAAGCAATAAGCGAATGATACAAGCGCAACGAGACACTATGACTGAATACGATGACATAAAACTCTAGAAGGAAAGACTGGCCTCTCAATATAAGGAAGATACTTTATTAGACAAAAATATATCATTTATATAGTTTTCATGAACATTTAAAACTACATGGTCAAAAACTAAATAATTTATTTTGATTGGCCAGCTCCATGATAAAATTGTCCAATAAGATTTCTCTTGACCACGCAGCAACATGAAATGAAAATTGAAATATAAGGAAGTTCAACCTTTGCGGCTAATACATTAAAATGTTGATTTCCATTTAGGCCACTTTCTATGAGTTCTAATGTAGCCTAAAATGTTCACTTATTGATTTCCCCGTAACGATATGAAATCATTTCATTTGCATCTTCGTTTTACCCTTGGATTATGATAGTTCTCTGAATGGCAACTGGTTGATCGATTTATGTATGGTGTAATGTTTGAAAAACCATAGGATAGACTTTCAATAGCCTGTATTCAATTCTCCTGTTCAGAATTTCTATCTCCCAATGACAATGTAAAACAAAATAAATTTTTTCAACCCAAAGTTATAGTAGACCGGAATTTACAATACCCCACAAGATTCATCGTATAAGGTGTATTTTTACTTGTGTAATATTAGAACAAATAACAAAATATAAGAAAATTTTGTATGATAGTTATCACTATTTTTGAGATGAGTGGGGATTTTAATTTAGAAGTAGTATTCATCATGGACTGACATTACTTGGCGAACCATTGGAAATCTGGGAGCACTGGACAACTGTTTCGTCCTAGTATGGACTCCTCAGCAGTACGCATTATTATTATTCATTGATTATATATTGTCTGATGTTTATATATTCATCCTTCCAAACCAGTAATCTATTCTTTCTCATCCTTGATGATTCACAACCCCATTGTACTTTTCATAGTCGAACTAAATTCTCCGGCCCTATTTTTGTTCCACCCTACTTGCACAACTGACGAAAGCCTCTCTGACCTATTTGCTTATTCACTCACCTATATTACATTGGTCTTTGCTCCATATCGCGATGTAATTAGATGACTGTAAAGGTCAACACTTTCTGTACCAAAACTTGAATATTATAGTGAAGTTGGATAGTGGCTAGCAGTGGAATCCAGAAAGCGCATTTCATCCTGCCTAGGACTCGTTAGCCGGATGTACCTGCCTCCCAGTGAGTGATGTTCTTCCCACAGGGATTCGAACTCGGGGGCGATCGCTTCAAACACTACTGAGCCACGATAGCCACCTCTTGTGCGACGGGTATAGTTTTATTGTTATTGCTCGTATTCTACCATGGTTGATTGGACTGAATTGATCAGTCCCTATTGGAATATGGGATCCTGTGCGGATGCCTCGAAATACCTATGTTCTAGTTATAGTAGAGATAGATAATACTGGCGTTTGAAGCGACTGCTCCCGAGTTCCAATCCCGGTGGGAACAACATCACTCACTGGGAGGCAGGTACATCCAGCTGACGAGTCGCAAATAAGAAGAAATGCGCATCCCGGATTCCACTGCTAGCCACTATCCATCTTTACCATAACTAGAACACACAGGATCCTATATGCCAATAGAGACCAATCAATTCGGTCCAATCGACGACTGTATAATACAAGCAATAACACTTGAATATTAACCTGAAAATCTAATGTCAGATTCATACTCCTGAAAAGGATCTTCCTAGCAAGAATGAAAAGTTGAGGAATAATACAAAATACTTGTTTATTTTGTTATTTGTTCTAATATACTACTCTAGTATCACACAAGTAAAAACACACCTTATGCGATGAATCATACTAACTCGGTATCCAAGTTTTTTCAAAACTATCCAGTCCACTGTTGGTCAGGATATCTTCACCCCACAAGATTATATATGATAACTTGACAAGTGTTCATCTGTATGAATGATTCTGTGCTGTGAGAATTGTAGAATAAATATGATATACATTAGTAGTGTGTGTGTGTGTATGTGAATTACGGATTGAGATTTGTTTGTACTCTAGATCTCCCAGTATCAAGTTCAGATCAGAAAAAGAAACTGATTGATTGTCTTGTCAAGCCGAAAGAAAATGTACATTAAGGTATAACCATTTTCAGGAAAGCAACACATTCGAACAAATACTCAGATTTCAAATCATCACATCCAATTAGTACGAAAGTTTCTGTTGACTCCACTCTCTTAAGGAAAGCAGACACCTCTAGTAAGGGATGAAAATGAAACAGCTAAGGAATTAAAATATGTGAACAAGATACTTAAAATGAATAATTATCCAGTGAGATTCATTCACAAAATTGAAAATAACAGTAAATTAGGTGGTAAAAGGACTCTTAAATCATGGGCACCAATAATAGTTATCCCTTACAGACCACACATATTGGATGAGATTAAGTGTACTGAACAAATACAATATCAGAGTGCTCTACAGAACGTCAAACACATTGCAGACCACCTTAGTTCATTTGAAAGACGAAATCCCTCTACATTCACAACTGAACTGTGTTCACAAAATATAATGCTCAAACTGTGATGCCACATACATAGGACAAACTTCCTATGAAATTAGGAAAAATGAACACCGAAAAGCTTCCATCCAACCCCTAGAAATTCCAGTGGAACTGAAAACACTTGAAAATGCATCAGCCATAGCTCTACATGCTATAAATTCAGGACACAAGGTAGACTTTGATGAAATATCGAAATTATTCAGAAAGGTGGCTTTAAAAATTATGAAGAACGTCTCATAGTAGAATCTCTTCACATTAAGTGGAATCATAAATGTTTAAATGTGGAAGAATGAGGGAGTAAAACGTAGTTTGATCAACTCTCAACCCAGCACTACATACTGACATAATCAACATACACGGAGGTGTTAAGAATTATCAATACATGTATGCATACCAATCTCAATCTGTTTATCATACATTTTTTATACATAACACACTACATATGGATATCATCTTTATTCTACAATTCTGACAATGCAGAATTATTCATTCAGAATAATAAATAATATTTACCCAGTGGTCAAATTGTTTCAAACCATCCAATCTCAACTTGGATATCTATTTCTTGTTTAGACTTCATTTGAAAAACAACAAAAAGGGAAGGAACACTAGTGGTTTCTTACAAAAAGCTTAAAAGTAAAGTGTATCTTTTAGGTAGTCGTAAATAGAAATTTTTTTATTTTAATCACTCATAGATGAATACAATTCGAACATATTTCTACAATATAATTTATATACTTTTTTTTCTAATATTTTCTTTTCATCTATCTTCAAAGTTAGTATAGTTGAAAAGACTGGCCAAAAAGATTATTACTTTCTTGTTGCAGGCGTATGTTATGTTACTTCAGCTCTTTTACATCTAGGATTATTTCGATATCCATGTTCTACTCAACTGAATGAAGAAAATGATGATCCATATGCTAAATGCTATTTATTCCCTAATAAATTGAAATCTACACAGAAAACTTAAGCATAATAAATATTGTTGTACATAGAATCAAGTAATGAAGTTAAAAGATGAGATTATGGTTTTTCACTACACCTTACAACAATTCTTTACTTTTCAATTAACTAGTTAGATTTCATAAACTCACATTTTTGTAAAAAAAAATAATTTGTTTTTGGTAGAATAAATATTTTTCTTATGAAGTAAAGAAATAGATTAGTTGATTTCACCTTTACTCAAGTTACTATGAACGGATTATATAAGTGAGTACACATAAGAACAGCTCAATAGTTCAGTCGCTGATTGAAACACTGAGTAATATAGGTAAGTTCCTTAGAAGGGACACCACTTCCGTCGAGGTTCCAGGTAAACCTTGTTGAAGAGTGTCAACAAACAGGGCGACCTGCTAATTACCTGGAACTAACTAAAATTCATCAGAAGGGCATAGTGACGATGGATCTCTTAGCTTTAGTGGTTATACTGCAAAAGGATTGAAAGAATTTGGTCAGTACTCAAGACTAGACAACATGAAATTGGTTGCTTTACAGCAGTCAATCAATGTATACTTCCGACTTATCACAGAAAAGGTGATTTTACTTTAACGTGTATATTGTGAACTTTTGATTGAGATTATTATGATGCTTTAAAACATCAAGTAATATAGGTTCTTTGGTAGAGGTTTGATCAACCAGATAGATTTGCACTTGACAGTATGAAGTGGTAAGCATATAATGCAACCCAGCATAGATTTTTGTGAACTAGACTATAAGTCATAATTAATATGTGAGACCTTATGGTACTACCTGCTGGTCCAGGATGAAGTAGGCGGAGGAGGGTTCTATCATATACCCCTAATTTTGTCTGATATTTGCCAATAACCTTAAAATAACTTACTATTTCTCTTTTCGTGCCCTCTTGGTGTTGGTGGTAGCTTTCGTTTTTCCTACTGTTTCTGAAGGCTAAACTCTCATTGGCTGTCAACTCTTTTAACTTATCAATGAATTAAGTGTGTATTAAGGTCATTCAGATTGTATATATTCAGAACTGCTGCCAGCTGTTTTGACTGTTGTTGAGACAGTGAAACCTCTCTACCAACTATTCATCTTGTCCTGTTATCTTCACATATCCATGGTATTGGTGTTGTGGTGGTTGACGTCCTGATTAGCGACTTGGGTAGATTCTTTTGCTCATTAGGTTCGTATTGCTCGTAGACTGGTAGGTCTCATTACCAGTAATAGAAGGTTCAGACCTGAGACCGACTGCTTGAAGGTCAAGTACTGTACTCAATGAGTCACCATACATACCACGAAGCTTCACAAACAAACAACGTTTAACTTCAAAATAGCTCCATCTCGCAATATGATATCAACAAAAATCTAAATGATTTATTTTTATTCATCTTAAACTGCAATAAAAAATACCCTGTCTCTTAACATAATAATATGGCATGGAACAACAAGATATTTTTCTCTATACTATAATACGGTTTTCTAGTGATTACACTAATGAATGTGCCACTACTATTTAACAAACAGGGAGATTGAGATAAAAGACTCTCTAAGAGCAATTTTGGCGCGCACACACCTACAGATGCACAAAGATTTGGAAACTGAAGCTGGCTAAAACCTACTCTCATCTCAGGTCATTTGAATCTACATAAAAGGTTACATTCATCTAGCTGATAACTTCAGATCCTTTTAGATATGTGAATAGAGAGAAAAGACTAGTCTGTAGAGGGACCAATTAAAAATGTACTTTGTAATCACTTCCAAAATCAAACAGACAAACAGTGGATCAGCCAATCAATATTAGATTTATTTTCCTTAGTTCTTATCTTCGGTCTTTCGACCCCAACACACATTCTACGCGTCTTCTCTACTAATTTAGTTGTGTCCGAAATCAACTAGAAATTTGTTAAACGCTGGCAGCTGACAGTCGATATCCGTACATCGTAGGCAGCCATAGCATACAGAACTTTCCAAACCATAGCACTTTTCTACTGACATTCAGGTCTGCTGAAATGCACATTGACCTGCATTCTCACTATCAAACAAAATATGACCAATTTTTCATCAAATTCTTTCTTGCATTCTGAAAAACGGTGCACTACTATCCGGCGACTTATCATTCTACTTAACCAATTAAATCCTAAAGAGATCCCCTTGTTTTTTTGCATAGCTTAGTAGTAAAGACTTTAGTTGTGGTGATCAGGGATACAGATATAAATATATAATGTGCCAGACACAATATATTCGGTGCTTCCTCATGTCTGCTCACCATCCAACATCAAACCAAGATGACTATTTTCTCGATTTTCCATGATCTTATCCCACGATGAGTGGCAGTTGATAAGTCTATACGGAATCGACCAAGGTATTATTATTTGTCTCTTGGGTAGACGAGGATGTCATCATATGGCTCATGAACCCCTGAATCACCCCCTTTCCATACGATTTCACACATAGGTTGCTTCTTTCTATTTGTGGGGTTATTTGCTAACTTTTCAGTATGAAACAAATTTCATTGATTTATTTTTTCAATATGGATTAATTTCACCTAGCTACATGTGCTAGTCGAACTAGTGATGTCTCGTTTATTGTTTCTACAGAGAACTGTCCACTAATTTTTGTGCAAGCGCATCAAATCCCAAAGTAGGCAACTCATTATCAATTTCGTCAACGAAATTTGGAGGCTATTTTTTGGCATGTTATTCACTTCAGGTTACTTAAGAAATTCGGAAAAGCTTTTTCTGACTTTTCCAGTTTCCTGCATTTAATATTACGCCTACTTGGTTCGGTAATTTCAGTAACATGTTGTGGTTCTCCTACATTTCTAATAATAGAATCTAGTTTCACATTACTACGATTTTCAGTACACTTCACTTTCTACACAGAAATTTTAAACAGGTCAAACTCAAAATCAAATCTATGCACTTGTGTGAATGAGACATTCAGTCATACATTGATACTGGTGCTGATACCATTGCGTGAAAAACGGTTATATTATTGACCTGCACACTTCCATCACTTGAGAGTGTAAAGGCTGTTGAAAGTGATTTTGATACTGGGTAATGATTAAAGGTGAAATGAAAAGTTGGACCGCGGCGGGATTCCAACCAGCGACCGCTGGGTTTTCAGCCCGATGTTCCACCAACTGACCTACGAGGCCCAGCTTTTCCAATCGTGCAAGACCTGGATGGACAAAAGTGCATGAACGTTCAACGTGCATCAGGTTCTCTACATTACTTGCATTTAGATGGTCTTAGTTCTGGGGATATTTTGTAGCACAATTATCATAGTGCACACCTTTGTATATTGAAAATAAATAACCTGACTGTTCGAAATACTGGGAAGAGACCATTTCTATGTCTAACGAAAAGTAAAGTGCTTTCGAACGAACCCGAGAAACTTGACTAATATAATCCAAAAACTTTTCCTTTGATGGCCACACACTTGTTCTTATCAGAATACAACTGATAGACAAGCGAGTTAGAGCTCACAATCATTAAATTGCAATGTAAAAGAATTTTTTGATATTTCTGTAATAAATTGGTATTATTTCCAATACACTGCAACGGATCGATGCCTAACTTGCATTTCCTGAAATATTCAGTGGAAATCAACGCGTCTGTGTTTGTCAGAAACATTCAAAAACACCTAATAGTTTAAAGTATATATAAGCAGGTGTTGAAGACTGAGGAAACACAAGTCAAGTGCATGTGCACAATTAGAATGTTTCCATTTGTATTCCACCTGATCACTAATCTCAATTTTTCAGTGTAGGCAGAAAACATTAAATGTAGCTACAACAGATTACAATGGTCGAGTTCCTTCTAGACATTCTCGATTTGGTAATAGAATCCACTGTTTCGAAAGAATAAGTTCGACGAAATTAAATCTCAAAGTAGAGAATTTCTGCCTCGAATACCTCAGGTGACTACATAAAAATAATTAGATCTATTTTTCAAAAGAAATATTTTCTTGACTACCGTATAGGAGTAGAGTTGATCAGTTACTATAAGAAACATGATCATGGAGCTGAGGTCAATACCATAGAGAACTCATGAGCTTTGAAAGAAATCTTTGGATCAGCATATTTCGTCGATTTACAATTTTTGTGATACATCAGGATTCAATGTCAATGACAGACAATACTATTTGCGAACATTACCATTGTTGTCTTCTTCAACCCTTTTCCTACTTCCGTGTAAACTCTAAGGTCATACACAGCCTTAGTCTAAAAGTACAATGGTTATTAAAACATATTCCAAAATTAGGAAATCGATAATGCTAAATGGTACAATAGAATCATTCATAATTCATATAATGTGCAAGATAATTCACTTCACACCGGTAAGAAATCTAACAAATAAAAAATAATTACAAACAAATGGATAAATACTGGGTTATGCAGTGAAAGTGAGACAGTAGAAAACTAGATTTATAATTCCTCGCTACACGTCCGGTGACAAATCGAATGTTGGGAACTACAGACCTATCAACATAACGCCAGTCGTCTTCCGAATTATCGAAAACGTGATTAAGAGCAGCATATCTGACTACCTCATCACAAAGTCTCAGCACGGTTTTATTAAAAACAGGTCTTGCGCTACTTGCCATTTCGATTTCTTCAGCCTTACCACTAGCAGCCGCGAGGCCAGTAAAATCGTCATCGTTCTATACTGTGATATATCAAGGGCATTTGACAAGGTGCCACACAGTATTCTCTTTGATAAGTTACAATCGACTGGCATTCATGACCCTTTACTTCATTGGCTAAAACTATTTCTCAGTGATCGTAGCCAAATGGTCAAGGTAAATTCTATGCAGTCTACACCTAGGCTCACAACTAGGGGAGTAATACAGGATAGTGTCCTTGGACCTTTGTTGTTCATAACTTGTATTAATAGTGTGTGCAAGTGCTTCGCTGTAGGGAAACATTCCTATACGCTGATGACCTTAGGGTTGTATACCCATGTCACACCCATGAACTAGGTAATATGCTATCTACCGCTCAACAAGAAT